TGTTCCCTAAAAACGTTACATGAATTTCCATCTAACGCGAGTGTAACATGAGTTGCATTAAAAACAGTATTAGCTCATGTTACACTCGCGTTGGATAGAAATTCATGTAACGTTTTTAGGGAACAATATTTTATGTTCGGTTGTTGCTGTAACAGATCTGTATTCCCATTTTTATGCTCAGCGACACAATTATGTTATTCATGTTTTGGTCCGCTTACATTTATCTAACTACAAATTTCGTTTCGTTTGTCTCCGTCGCCAACCTGACCGACCGAATATCATTCTGCTCTTTCTCACTCTGTGTCTATCTGTCTCTCATCTACAAAACCTCAAACGTATTCAGATTAACTAAGTCTAATTTCATTTTATTTGCTTTTGTTTGCGCATCATTTCAATTTTCATTCGCCATTACGTACGCGCTTCAAATCGGTCGAGGATTTGGTCCGAGAAAAAAAAACACCACACAGAATTTTGTGTATATACTCATTGCTTGCAGACTGACGAAATCGTTTATGAAGAGCACTGCCACATCATGCGGAATGATTGAAGAACACTGATCAACCATAAACAGCCAGCAATGCATTACACATTTTTTTGCTGCTTCTGTTATTTGCTTTCTTGCGCGCTCCGGAACCATGACACTTTTCATGAGTGTGTGTGTGTATATGACCCATGTGTTGTTTGCAAACAGTAGTTAGCTTGAGTCATAGAGTGAAACAATATAGGCGGAATTTAATGGAATCCATGTGAGGCTCTGGCAGTGTGGTTGCATGAAAACGGCACACAAACACATACACACGATTCATTTAATTCAAAAAACGCTGACTCTTAAATCAGGAGTTTCACTTTCGAAATCGCATGTGATTTCAATCAGCCGCGCGCACACACTGTGATTACTCTCTTTCTCTAACTCTATCACTCTTGTTCGGACGCGTGGGCTCTTTTTCTCTGTGTGTATCTTTTTCCATCGCGATTGATGGGAACGATGATGATGATGATGGAAATCAAAGTCAATGGAATACGTAACCAAATCACACATTTCATGCCAGCGAGAGAAAGAGAGAGAGAGAGAGACGAGCCTCAAACGGGTGAACCTTTAGGTTCGGTCAATGTGCACATACCGCGTCGTGCGATGCTTTAAATCGGTGCGGAAATCCATAAATGAGCATGTAATCTAATTGAAATTCATTCGCGCACAGTTTTCATTCACGTTACACATGACGAAGAAAAATAGACGAATATGTTTATTGAAATGATGTCGTCAATGAGATAACATTCGCCCATTTCTTTCCAACGAATTCCAAGCTCAAAACGAACGAGAAAGAGAAAAAGTGTCGTCACTTTCAAAGAAAAGCTTCATAAATTAACCGAATTAATGTGAAAAAGTCTTACGAAATGTTGTCGATTTCGTGATGAATTTTTTGTTCGGCTCGCATTTGAATTCAAGTTTAAAAGAATTTATCGACTTTTATCGGTATGTCGTTGTTGTCGTTCATTTTGTTTTTTTCATTGAAAATATGGCCAAAACCAAAATAATTGAAGAAGAAGAAAAAATTTAAAACGGATACAACAATTAACCGATTTCGGTTGAACGTGATGCAAAAAATACATGTGAAATTCATTTCGAAATGCTGTGAATTGTTTTGCATTCAGTGTATTTGATTAATTTTGATTAAATGATTTTGATGCACATTGGCCGCATGTAGTGTGTGTTCTATTATAATCTTGAACCCAAAGAGCTGTTGCTTCTGTTGCTCCACCATCAACACCGAAAAGTGTTCGGATCCAGTCAGCGGCAGTAACAGAGAGAAACAACAAAACGAAGTGTGTAGAGATTCAGAGCGCGTTTCATGTGTGTGTGTTTGTTTGTGTTGTGTTACACATTAGAAATTGGCATGACACAATCGAATTGGCCTGACTGAATGTCCAGCTGCTGCTGAACCGGATGCACAATATTAGTTTATAAAAATAAATGTGTGCCTAATATAGATTGGGCCATGCCCACCAAAACCAACGAACCCATATTGCAATCACTGAACCAATTTTCATGACTATTTGAACAGCGAGAGCGCGGACCGCATTCGCCGAACATCACCGCGGCATGTACGCAACACAACTTTGCTCTGTTCGATAATGATGTGATGTGCGTATTTTAATTAGCGCCAAAATATATAACACACAATGGTTTTTTGTTGCTGTTGACACTTTTATTATGTGACTCGCCACGTTAAGTGTGGCCGCGTCTAATTCATAAAATGATTTCATTGATGATACACCGAAAGAGAGACAAATGAAATACGTGTACCGTACGAAAAAGTGTATCAATCAACGATTGAAAAAAGCGCGCGCGCACACACAGACATTGCCGCTCGTACAACGATATATTCCGTAATAAACGCAATGAATACAAGAAACGAGATCATTTCAAGAGCAAGAATTTATCTTCGACAACATTCACTTAGAAAGATTGCAACGTGCGCAATTGCTTTCGATAAATACAAATGAAACACCGCACATAACACAAGTTCGGTTTGCATTGAGTGTGAGACGTCGAGTAAACAATGCGATCATCGTTGTCACATCAGAAACGAGCATAATAGTTGGCCATTTTGATTTGAAACAGCCGTTTAATTTCGATTCGATTGAAAATTGTCAAACAACAATGGGTTTTTGTTCGGAATCTCGAATTTTTTCTAATAAATTTCCATTGATTTCATTTCGTAGGTTCGATTCGAAACGCTGACGCTAAACAGACAGAACTTAACAGTTTGGAAAAGAGACGCGCGCAAGCGCGTTTTCATCAATAAGAAAAAGTGTCAACTGTCTAGAAAGTTGTGGGCAAGGTGTGTGTATTGCCGATAAGGTGAGTGAATTCGATAAGTTAAGGTCAGAATTTATTTATAAAATAATTTTCCATAGTCACCTTGCAACATATCGGTAGATCAAATGACCTGTGTCGTTGTGCCCAAAAAACAATCAAAGAAGAAGAAGAAAAAAAATCAATCGACGACGTGGATAGAAAAGCAAGTGAAAAACAAGTTTTTTTTAAACACAGCCACAGTGTGATAGTCATTCCACTGACATTCATTTCGTTTTGTTTGGTTGTTTTTTTTTCTTCTTTCTCTCTTCCTCCTGTGCGCGCGTGAGTGTGTGTGTGTGTGTTTTTCGTATGATCGATGATCATGACATAAACAATTAAGTCAATGCCGAACTTGTTCTTGCAGATGCAACGCCTACATTTTCAACCTTCCGAAGAATTCGCCTTGATTTTGGTCGTAAAAAGACACACATTTTTCCCTTCAAATGAGAGACGAAGAAAAAAATCACACAATACAAAATCAGCTAATCACAGTATCTACTAATTAGTAGTTGCGCACATCTCTCTCTCTCCCTCCCTCTTCCATCTCTCTCTCTCTCTCTCTATCTCTCTCTTCCCTCTCTCTCTCCCCTCTCTCTCTCCCTGCATATATATATGGATTTTGATGAAATAAGAGAAGAAGAGAGACAAAAACAGAGAGAAAAACTATGTAAATCAAGTACAAGCAGTTAAACGGAATGCACAATGTGGAATATTGCAGATTGTGCAGTAGTCATGAATGGACGGTCGTAATTATCGTAATGATAATTTTCATTTTCCGGTCAGTCTCTGTCTCAATCGGTCGGATCACTCACACAAAATCGTTGTCCATGCTCTTTGCATTCTATAAGGCCATAACCAAATTCACAAATTGCACAAATTAAAGATATGGTGAACCTTTTGTGTACGCTCTTGTTTTTATTTTTGTTGTTGCTGCTTATCTTGTGTTTTTAGTATTAATGTCGAATACTAATGTGTTTTGAATTGGTTTTTTTTTTCCTCTGTTTTCAGCTTGAATTAAGAAAAACTTTATAAATTCGGAGACGTGTGCAAAAACAGAGGGCGAAAGAAGCAAAATGACCGTCGAATTGGATATTGTGGAACGGAAAAACGAGGAAAATTTGAAATTAAGCAAACAAATGTCGGATACAATGAAAAAGTTGAACATAGACGGAAATGAACCGATCGCACCCATCGATGCTGACTTGGACACCGCCGCCACCACAACAACAACCACAACAATACACGCAAACAGTGGACCATCGACAGATCTACAGCGTTTCTATGCCGGCAAAAATGTATTTATCACCGGTGGAACAGGTACGAAACAAAAATATTACCATACAATTTGAAAATATCGAGCGATCAAGCGAGCTCTATCGACCTAGCACACACACACACTCACTCTTCGCCAGCGTGTACAGCTATGAAGATTGCACCAAATGATATTATACTAACTCTTCAGTCGCATGCTAAACAGAATTGAAGATGAGCTCGGTCGGCTCTAACACGCTGTTGCGTGTGTGTATCGCGGTAGAAAATCGGTTGCATTTTTTTCATTTCATTCCGATTACAATTCATCAAAGCAATACTTTTTTTTCCTATGCCATTTATAACGGTGAAATCGAACGGTCATACACATACATACACAGCGAACAATGACGTCTCTGGGAACTGATGAAATTCGAATAGCCAAAAAAATCACTTCACTTGAACCGCAGCAAATACAATGGCCAATTTTCATTCGTCGAGCAATTTTAAACTCAAATTCCCGTCACGTACATGGTATTTGTTGGCTATACAGATTCAGTTTAATTCTTTTCGGTCTGATTCACGATCCGCCGAAAAAGAAAAACATTTTACACATCAAAAATATGATGAGTCCATGCGTTCATTATATACAAATTCAATTTGCCAAAAAAAAAAATCGCAACAGAAATGAGAACTTGTGAAAGAAGAATACAGAAAAGAAGAAGAATGAAGCGATGACGATTAGAATGTTAAATGGTCAAATTTTTATTTCAATTTCACACACAATCGTCAATTGGAATCGAAAGAGAAACATCAATGATCAATAAGTGAATCAATAAGATCATGATCACTGAATCGCTGTATACAATGAACGTGATTCGATGGCGATATTATTGTGATACACAATTTGTGAATGAGTTGAATTCGACAGAAGGAAAATAAACATACGAATCCGTTTCAATTGAAATCAAATAAAATTATTTGCAGAATGGAATTATCGATTTGGACGTGTGATTTATAAAGTATTCAGAAATTGCAACACAATTTTGTTTCCTTGTATATATAATGTGATTTGCAAATAAAAATGAATGTGAATTCATGTACCGAAAATAAAAAAAATATTCACCCAGATTAAATATGCCCAAATAAATGGTATAGAGAATTCATTAACGCCTGTCGCGATTCTTGGAAAGAAAGGAAATGATATTAACAATGAAACGATCAAATTCAGTGCGTGTATGTACAAATGAGTCATTTCATAACATATGTAGATACGGGGCTACGGTATGTACAACGTAGAAAGTAAAAAAAAAAAACATTTAACATAAATCGAAAGCGATCATTGATGAAGTGCTTTGTTTGTCTTCGGTTTGGTTGTTCGATTTTTAACAGGTACACGGTCATTAATGCGATCATGAAAAATAATGTGCATAGTGCAGAAACGCAGTGGCAAACTCATTAAAAATGTATGGACAAAAATAAAGGTTGAAATAAATTGCATAACGAAATTCCGCACGTAAATCAGTATGTTGCCGTCGAGGTCAATGTTAAAAAAAAAATTCCAAAAGAGAAATATATATGTCCATCCATCCATCCACATATTGAATGGCAATGTGGAAAAAGATGCAAAACAACACCAAAACAACACACAATGCAATTGCAAATTGAGTTGATAATGGGTATGCCAAGAAAAGCATTGTAGAACAACTCAAGTTGTTCACCTGAACTCATGACGATTCATCTGTCTTCATGTTGTGTGTTCATGAACGATGTTTGCCGAATTTTTTTTTTCTCTCTTTTTTCGGGTTTTTCTCTTTCGCTCTTCAGATTCATGATTATTCACTTTTGTTTGTCAATAACCTTTTTTTTTTTGGTATTGTTTCTCTTTTGTAAATATCAATTGCTGGTCGAAGCGCACATTCATCGCCACTGAAAGTACAGTGTGTGTGTGTGTACGATAATAATTGCGGGGATTTTGGATGACACGTCGCCATGAAAATGATCAGACCATATTTCATTTTTCTCTACGTCGGAACCAACTGATTGTGTGTCACATTCACACAAACACACACTCTCTCTCTCTCTCTCTCAAAATGTTTCAGTTTAATTTTTGCATGCCATCCTAATTGAATAATTTGGATGGATTACGTGCGAATGTGAGTAATAATCATGGGGGTTATTGTACCACATCCACTTACTGATTGCCATCATTTTGTTTTAATTTTCGTTTTTGCCGCTCTATCTGTGCGTATTCGTTTTTTTTTTGCTTCTGCGATATTATTTCTCTCACGCATGATTTGATCATGCCGCGTGTATGCTCTAGGCAGCGGAATAGTTTCCAACCCATTTTTGAAGAAAAAAAATGAATTTACTGAGAGATATGATACCGATGACCTAGTTTCCAATGACCATTGAACATTTTATTTATTTGTTTTGTTTTACTTTTACCGCGCGTAGGTTTTTTGGGAAAAACACTGGTCGATAAATTGTTGCGCTCATGTCCGGATGTTGAGAATATTTATTTGCTGGTTCGTCCAAAGAAGGGTGTTGACATCCATACGCGGCTTGAGGAGATTTTCGATGAGAATGCATTTTCACGGTTACGCGAAACGGTGCCCAAATTCCGGCATAAGATTGTTGCCATCGCTGGTGATTGCTCATTGGCCGGGCTTGGTATGAAAATCAACGATCGCCAAACGCTCATTTCAAATGTTGATATTGTATTCCATTGCGCTGCTACGGTTCGTTTTGACGAAAAGCTCCGATTAGCGGTCAGTATCAACGTGCACGGAACACGAGAATTACTTGAATTGTGCACACACATGCAACACTTACAGGTACGTTGACAATTGGGAACTATGTACACATATGTTGTGAATTTTGTATTCAGTTGAACACGGAACCAATTCCAATTTTCTTTGTTATTCTCTCTTTCTCTATCCATCTCTCTCTGTCTCTGTGTTCGCTGAAAATTGGCAGGTGGTGATGCATGTTTCAACCGCTTATTCAAATTGCCATTTACGCTTCATTGAGGAAAAATTTTATAATTACCCATTCCATTTTGACGATCTATCTCGTTTAATTGACAAATTGGACGACAAAGCACTGGATAACATAACACCGACGTAAGTTTGATGCAGTTTTATCTTAGTTTAGCTCCAGATACATCTAATCATGACATTAAATTCTCTCTCTTGCTCTCTCCTTCACACTTTTTCCCTTCACACTTTGACAAATTTACAGTCTATTGGGTAAATGGCCGAATACGTATGCATTCACAAAAGCTCTGTCTGAGGATCTAATTCGTATGAATGGCAAAAATCTTCCGCTTGGAATGTTCCGGCCAGCAATAGTAACGTCGTCGGTACATGAACCAGTCGTTGGTTATATTGACAATTTGTATGGGCCAACGGGTGTTGTTGCCGGCGCTGGTACCGGTGTACTGCGCACCATGCACTGCAATCCAGACATCTCCGCTAACATTGTTCCCGTTGATATGACCGTAAATGCTCTCATTGCCAGCGCTTGGGATGTTGCCACAAATAACAAAGACGCTTGGTAAGTGCACTTGAAATGTTCGAATATTGACCGTTAAATCCACTCTTCCACTGCCATTTTCATTTGTTTGCGATTTTTTTTCTTCAATTAAACTCTCTTTTCTCGTTCATTCGATAGCATTGCTGAAGACGTTCCAATCTACAATTACGTATCATCCGTTGAGAATCCATTGACATGGGGCGAATTTACCGATAAAAACATTCGAAATGGTTTCACTTATCCGTTTTCCACCGCCATTTGGTACGTATCATTCCATATGCACAAAACGGCGTTCATGAATCGCGTCTACATGGTATTTCTGCACTTGTTGCCCGCCCTATTCATGGATTTACTGACAATGTGCGTCGGACAACGGCCTCGAATGTTGAAAATGTACAAAAAAATTCACAAATTCTCCAGTGTTATTTCATTTTTCTGCACCAATGAATGGGTAAGTGATCTATTTGACGGTTCGAAAAGTTTGAAGCTTTTATATTAAATAGAGTACTTTATCATTACGCCAAAAAAATTCATTTCATAAATTAAAACCTAATTCCGTTCGATTGGCATTGTAGATGTTCACGAATTCGAATGTACAACGTTTGTGGAAGAAAATTGGGCGTCGAGATCAAGAATTGTTTGATTTTAACATTCGAAACGTTGATTGGGATGAGTATTCACATCACTATATCAAGGGAATGCGTTTGCACTTATTCAAAGATGATCTGTCAACACTTGAATCAGCGAGAAAAAAGTGGAACAGGTACGGAACAAAACGTGGCTTTCTTTTTCGGATGCATGCTCGTTATTACGCAGATGTGTTCGTTATTCTTTTTCGAAAACTTCTTTTTACTACTGATGAGTTAATCCATTTCAGATTTTACTGGATGCATCAAATCCTTAAAGCAATTTTGGCATTGACCGTGCTGCACACCGCTTGGGCGATTTTTTCATATTTCTTTTATTCATTTTAAAGATAATTGTGATGAAATGGCTCCATTTAGTAGAGACAAATCCATTTAAAAGAGAAATGCATTGGAATTTCTTCTTTGTTTTTAGTAAAAAAAAAAAAAAAATTAAGAGCTGAAGAGAAAACAGAGCACATCATTATGGCTTTGTATTACAATTATAGAAAATTGTTTTGTTTATAATAATTTTATTATTTGATAGTTTTGATTCGGGGCACAAATGCAGAATAAAAAATTAGAGCAAAAACAAAACTAAACAAAAAAAAATCATTTGTAAATTATAAAGCTTTGAACAGACGATAATTTTGCGTAGCCCCTCGCATTTTGATTTAGAGACCATCTTAATTGTATTGAAAATTAGATGTAATTTTTTTTTCTTGATTTAAACAAAGGAAAAACACACACACACAAACACACAGAACAATTACCAATAATTATTTTTCTTCTACATCTTTATCTTTGGGTAAAGGTTACATGTCACACCACATTGCAACGTGGATTGGTTTGTGGTTGCAATTTCGCGTGTCGTTTGTTTATTTCATTTTGGGAAATATGTTATTCTCTCTCAAATTCTAGATATAGATATATTAAAATGTTGTTATTTTTTAGTATATAATTCAGACATATATCACAAAGAAAGCAACTAAGCTCCCGGGGAATCCGTTGAAAACCATACGCGGAGTTTCTTTGATTTCCTATCAGTTTTTAGAAGTTAATTTAGTATTTAAAGCGAATTATGAAAGCAAAATTGTTTATTTAACGGGATTTATAGCAGTTAAAAGGCAATTACAACAAGAGTGACTCGACTTACGTGAGGTTATTAGTATCAAATTATGGCATAGACAAAATAATGAAGTTGAACAAAGAATTTATGACAATGTTTCCTCTGATTTGAGAATTATATAGCCGTGTGTGTGTGTGTGTGTGTATGAACCAGAAGAGACTAACAAGAATATTAACAAAACGCACAAAGGAAATGAAAACGAATACAACGAGAAAATTGTGATAAACTATATCAAGAAAAGAGACACAAAAAATAAACACACACACACAAAACATTCCGAAATTAAAGGGTCGGACATGAGATTTCACACACGAAATGCTCAAAATAATTTCATTTAAAACCTCCAAAGTATCCGCACGCAAATAGCAGTATCACACTTACATCACACTTCTTTCAACTATTTTTATTCCTTAAATTAACCAACAAATTCACACACACACAACAAATATTCGACAACATTTGTGAATAGGTAATAGAAAATAAACGAACAAAACATTATTGGGTTAAGCTCACGTATATCCAGTGTGGTAAATTGTATGAACAACTCATGAAATAACGAAAATGCCACATTTTTTTGTTGAAAATTTTCCGAGCTATCAATTAAGTGAGAAAAAAAATGAATGCAAAATTGTATATCTACTTCTAATCAAAAATGGTTCAATAAAACAAAATATTACAACAACAACAACAAAAAAAACACTTCTGAAACCAACATGTTGGATTGTTTCGTCTTTATTTTGTTTCAAACATCGTGCTAAAACATTTTAGAATTCTTTTTTTTTCTTATTTTTTATCTTTGTTAATAGCAGTATACATAATTAGTAATTCATTGCTGAAGAAAATATTTGAGAAAAAATTGAGGAAAAAAAACGACGTTCAACTACAAATATATTTCTAATTTATATAGGATGAAAATCGTTGTGACTAGGTTTCTTGATCGAAAAAAAGGGCGAAATATATGAAATTTTTTTTTTATCTTGTGCAACAAATGCAAGTGCATTTTTTTATCAAACATTTTGTAAAATATTCAAAGAGGTTTTTTTTTGTCTCACTACACAAACGAGAAAGTAAATCGATTAGTTATTCGCAAACGGAAAAATCTCTTAATTTATATATTTTGTTATTTTTTTAGAAAAAAAAACTAACTTTTCTCAAAAATTGGGAATGATTCTAGGCTTGGATGATTTTGATGCGTCGCTCGATTGATGCACGACACATTGGACAACTTTCGATGGTTGTATGGCAGTTGTTGCAACAGCATAGATGACCACATGGCACGAATATAACCTTACACTGAAAAAAAAATGGATTTTTGAATTGAACGTTCGTGAATTGCTGAATTTGTTCGCGCTTCAAATATAAAATAAAATAGAAATAGCGATAACTTACAGGCTCTTCCATACAAATGACGCATTCCGATTCCATTTCCGTTCCGGATGGTTCGTCCGAGTCAATTGAAGCGGCGTGTGCTTGTGGTGCTGTGGGCGGTTGTGATATTGCTTCTTTTGTTTGTGGCGACTCTAATTTCAGGAAATCTCGGATCGATTGCAAGATTCTATCACGATCGGACCGATTTTTTATTCCAGCCTCAATCAAATCGGTATCGGTTATATGTTCCATGTTAAAATTATCCGATTGCCATAATCTCGATAAAAACGGAATGCAATGCACCACACCGTTGACCAAAAAATTATATCCAAGCATTGGATCAATGCTGGTCGAACGAAATGATAATTCGCCGGGCTGTGAATCCAGCAATTTTTGGTATTGTAACAACCAAAAGTCTTGATGCTCATTCTCGCGTTGCGATTCAAGGCAGAGCAGTGTATCGAGCAGTTCATGCTTTCGTTTCGATTGTTGTTCCAATAAATCCAACAGTACATAGGTTAATTTTAATCTTTGCTCACTCAAGTCAACCTGCGGCGACCGAAGAATAAGAAATTAGAAATGGAAAAGAAAAGCTAACAACAAAATTTCAACTCTACTCACAATTTGATCATCCAAATGCAATTTTTTGCGTTCAATTTCACAGTTCGTCATCGACGCTAGCTGAGACTCAACAATGCGCACTTGTTCGATCAGTCCCCATGTTCTGGCATCATTCTTTTCGATCAATGCAGCGAACGCAACCTTTTGCAATTCTTCATCCTGAGTGATTTTCGATACAACAGCCGCTCGATCCTTATCATTACTTTTGAACAGGTTGTCCAACAGTCGATTTGTATTGTTTTCATGCTCAAGCAATGTCTTTGAAGTGCTATCGCGTTTTTCGTTGTACATTTCAATTTGTTTCGTTTCATTCTCAAGCAGTTCGGTCATTGCAGCCAAGATATCACGCTTTCGTAAATCATCGTGATTTATGCGAAGTTGTTCAAGCAGTTGCTTTTGCTCCTCTTGCTCTTGTTCCAAAAGTGCTGGGTCTGGGCCACTCTTCAGCGATATTAACTGGTCAACAATCATTCCAGCATTTGCCTCCGCTAAATAAATGAAATTTCAATTTAGGTAAATTCGTAAATAAATAATTCAAATTCGCTTCGATGGACAATACCTTCTAAAATGTCGTCGATTAGTTTCTGTCTTTCCGAGTCTTTTTCCTTCTGCATTCGTTGTATCAGGGTGTCCGATTCATTTTGTTGTTGTAACAAATGTTGTAATAGGTCTTGTTTACGTTTCAACTGCTGTTGATGTAGTTGGGCCTCCAAATTCGAATATCTTTCCAATTCCGATCGTTCGCGCTCCATGAATTTCTGTAAATGTACAAAAAAAATTGTTTGTATTATGTTCGAAAAATATTTTCCTCCGTTGAAATATGATCTGTTCAATTCTTATTTTAAAAAAACAAATGACATGGCCTGCTTGTACCTGTTTGCAGTGGGGGGAAATTAATCAATTGTTCATGCCCGTTTCAAAGTCAATCAATTAAAAAATCATGCAAATACACACCTTTTCGCGTGAATATTTGTCATTAGCTGAACTTGAATGTTTTTCGTTGGTTGTGTTCATTTCCCTCACAATATCTCGGCCCCGTTCCACCTCCAGCATATTGGCTGTAGTTCGTTTAATATTGTTCATTGTTTCTGAATTGTGTGCGACTGTTTTTCTATTCGAATTGTTCATTAGCGTTTCTTCGTGTGGACCATTTTGTTCGTGTAAATATTTGAGGATTGCTACCGTTCCGCGTTCGATAACATCGTTCGATGGATATAAAATGAATTCAGCATCAAGTACCAGATCGGTCAGACTATCGCATGTGGTAAGTTGTATAGGTAATTTCGTTAAATTAGCATTCCCAGTAATGTTCAAAATGCGTAAATTCGGCATAAAACCGATTTGATCGATTCGCGTTAATTTATTGTATGATACATCTAGCAATTCTAAATTGGTCAATTTATTTATGGCTGCGGGTAGAATGTCGATTACATTATGGGATAGAAATAGTTCCTGTGAGAATTTGAAAATGACAATAAAACAGAGAGAGAGAGAGAGACAATTAAAATTGACGTCAATGTGCATAATTGCACAAAACAAAGATCCAATGAAGATCCCATGAATGAATCATTCCGGCCGCACCGCCAAAATCGAGTCGATGGCACCGAAAAACTGGTGATTACGAATGGACTTACCCTGAGGTTTTTAAGTGTGTTACAAAATTCATCAGGCACTCGTGTTAATCGATTGAAACTCAAATTGATTTGTGTTAAATTGCTTAAATCTGTCAGTGAGCCGCCTCCATTCAACGATTGCAATTGATTATTCTGTAAATTGAGACGTTCTTTGAGTAGAACACGGCACAATACAAACACACCAGACGGAATGTCTTTTAGATTGCAATCGGATAAATCGTAGTCTGGCTCGGGTGTTTCTTTGGCCTAATGCGGGAGGAGAGAAGAGAAAATCGAAATTAATTTTAAAATCTAAATTTCATCCAAACCAAAACCAAAATTTTATCAAAACAATAAAAATGTTGAGCGATAGATAAAATATGAGGCGCACCAAACATAATTTCCATTCTAGTCGGGATTTATAATCGGTTGCAACTGTGTTCTTTTGCGCCATTGTATCTGTGGCGTGTTCAGTGTTTGACTGCTGATCACTTTTTTTTTCATCTTCTTCTTTCGTTATTTGACAGCCCATACATTCGTTTCGAGTGTATTTTGCTCACAAATCTAAGCGCGTACTCAAACAAAAAAGAACACAACACACAAAAAATGTAAAAATATCTAAAGAAAATTTATCACGATATTTCCGTGTGCACTGTCGCAATGAGGGAAACTCCGTCGCGTTTCAATACGAAAAACAAATGGAGAGAATTTTTATCACTACTGCTACTACTGCTGTTGCTGTTACTGTTACTGTTGTGAAATAATCCGAATGGAAACGAAAAATCCAAATGTGAACAAAAAGATGACAATTTTTTTTTTAATACGACTATCAAATCGTGATTCATGCACAATTCTTCTCGAACAAACAAATGCTTCGTGCTCTGATCAAAACTGATTAGACAAAAAGAAACACACATTCAAAATCATTTGCTTGATTGTTGATATGAAATAATAATTTCAGAACAATAATAATGCGCTATTTCGTGCTCATGTTTAGGTATTGCGATTCATGAAAACATTTTTTATCTGGAGCAATTTCATTCGACGATTATGTGTCTGTTATGCTTTGTGTGTGTATATGTGTTTTTGTATCTGTGCGTTGGAATCTGTCACATTTTTCTTTCGGTCGTGTAATTTGCTGTCTTTGTCTGGTTTGATTCTTTTGCCACTGTGTGTTCCTCCGTTCGTCTCTTTCTTGCTATTCCATCGGTTTGACATTTTCACATTAACAGGTTGCACTGCACTATGTCTCTTGTTCCTTGTATGAATCACTTACTGCGACCAATATACATATGAACAACAGCACATGCACACAAGACACAATCGTATCTACCATGTCACTACGTGTGTGTGTGTGTGTGCGCGTAGTAGTCACATACAATTTCTTTACATGAATCCATTGTGGCTCATTGGTATGTCCGTGTATTGGTATGCAAACAAAACGAATCACTCTGCTTTTCAGCACTTCGTGTCATATCGCAAACGTGTGCGTGCGCAATATCTGTCATTTTTCATTGAAAACATCGTCGCAAAGGAAAACAGTAAAAAGTGTATCACGAAGACACACTACCATCAAATAATCAAGAGAAACAGAGGAGAGATAGGGAAAAAAACCACTCGCAAACCAAATTATGATTATATTGATATTTTCAAAAAAATCCATTCCATTTGACAATCGACTAAGTGTTTTCTTTGTGGTGTAGACAATTTACGCGTGAACAATTTGTGTTTAGTTACAGCAAAACGAAAAGCAAAAATCGCATCAATTGAAACCATAAATTTTTCGTGTTTGTGTTTGGAAAATAAGCGACGAAAATATATAGATATATATACATAGAAAGAGAGAAAGAGATTGAGAGAGTGAGAGACAGAGAGATAGAATTGTGTGCCACTTGGAAAAGTGCAAACCAGAAGTTTCACCTCTTGAAAACGCAAATCCACATAGAAAATATATATATATATATCGAAAATGACGACCGTGGGCGATGGATTGGTGCAGAAAAAAGTGTCCGAGGCTCAGGAACACATTCGACAAGCCGAGAAAAGGTATGGAATTGGGTTTTTCTTCGTGACCTCCAGTAGGGGAAACAGAAACAGAAAAATTACAATTTCTTTGACTCGCGAAATTATTATACAATTTCATTGTTGTTGTTTTTCTTTCACTTTCTGTTTTGACACATCGATTGCACGCTGCGTAGTATGAAAACAGGATTCCTGAAGTGGCGACCAGATTTTGATGTTGCAGCCGATGAATATCAAAAAGCAGGTTGGCATTTTTTCTCTTGTTGTTTTTTTTTCTGTTTATTTTTTTTTTTGCAAATAAATGATTGGGACTAATTTATGTGCATGACTTTGTCACACGAAAACAGCGACATGCTATCGAGTAGCCAAGCAATTAGGACAAGCAAAAGATTATTTGTTGAAAGCATCCGATTGCTACAAGGAAAATCGTTCGCTTTTCCATGCTGCTAGATGTTATGAACAGGTAGGCAATTTTTTTTTTCGTGGGAAAATAACAAAATTCATGCACGATGACTTATTTAGTAAAATTTATTCCATTTTTTCAATTTTAGATCATTTTGCTCTTGAAAGAGCAAAATAAAACGGTAGAAATGGTAGACTTTGCACATCGAGCATGTCAATTGTATCAACAGCAAGGTTCACCCGAGGCTGGCGCTGGAGCTCTCGAAAAAACCGCCAAAATGGTCGAATCCAAAGATCCTGCCGCTGCCATTAATGTATTACAACATGCCGTCGAAGTTCTAATGGTAAGCCAATGTTGTTCTGAAGTGCACAGAAGAATCAAACGTTTTTATTTTTTAAAAAAGAACCAAATCAATATCCAAGTTATTTTCAACAATCAGTTCGACTGACCAAAATTTGTTCCAATAATTTAAATTTTGTGCATCTAATCACAGATTGAGGAGTCATCATCACGACAAGCTGCTGAACATTTATCGAAAATTTCACGACTTCAAATACGCATCGAACGGTATGTACAAATTGTGCAAATTCGTGGCCATAGTGCTAGATATTGGACAAAAGCGACATTTTCTCATGAAAAAAAAAATCATTGAAATAGGTATGGTGAAGCAGCCGATACAATACGTCTCGAGATTGGAATACATCAAGAAAATGCAAATGGTGCTGCCATTGGTCGTTTGACCGTTGCTTTAGTTCTAGTTCAATTGGTGCGTGAAGATTCCGTCGCTGCTGAAAAAGCATTTAAAGAATGGGGCAATTATTGTGATGTACAAGAAGCGGTCACACTTGAAACTCTTCTACAGGTACAATACACATTAATTTTCATGATGTCATTTTCATTATTTGTTCAAACCATTATCAATGCCAATTTAATCCAAACAAAACCGTCCTATTTTAGGCTTATGACGATGAAGATTGGGAAGGTGTACAACGGGCATTGCAATCACCATTCATCAAACACATGGATGTTGATTATGCTCGCCTAGCAAATGCCATTCCATTGCCCGAAGGAATTAAAAATATGCCGAAAGGTGCAACAAAGCCCACAGTCGTCTCGAATGCACAACAAGCATACACTTCACCACCACCGGAAGAGGTAAATTTGGACACCTTTTTTTCGTTGAACAACATTGGCAATTTGAAAACAAAAATACTTTTACGCACGACATGGGCGTGCGGAAAAGTAACTGAAGCATTTGCATGGAATTTTTTTTTCAATTTCAATTTAGAAAACATTTGATCACCATATTTTACAACTCATTTTTTCCTCATTTCAGATCGAGAAAGTGAAGGCGGCAACAATTGCGGCTGGAAATTGGCCGGCAGCTGGTGTATCAAATGCAGATAGTAAAGATCCACCGCCACCGTTCCCTGCTCATGTCGATGATGAAGACGAAGAAGGCCTGTGTTAAATGTATCGCCATCAGAAGAAAACAACAACCGATTCTTATATATTGTTTCCAATTGCACGTTTACTCTATTATCATAATTTACCAAAAGAAAAAGAGAAAGAAAGAAAGAAACTGCAGTGATTTTAAGGAATTAGAATTTAAGTGGACAAAAAAATAACTGATAAACAAATAAAAGCAGACAGAATACAAGAAAAACACCTTCAGAATATTTTCGAGATAGCTGCAAGCAGAACAGATGAATAATGGTGTGCATCAAATTTTTGATTTGTTTCCAAAAACATATAATTATTGTTGTTTATTGATGGCATCGAATAACTAGAACTAATTATGACAACAGAGCATATATATTAATATATAAAAACCAACATAGAGAGAATGAATATTTTTTTGAAATATTTATTGACAAGAACCAGAATAACAAAGAAAAAAAGTACGGTCAATCGCTAATCCACCTTCAATTCACATCTTTAAATTTTCACTCTGTAGAATATTAAAAAAAAAAACGCGAAAAATGATTTTGACAAAAAAGCTATGAATTTTCGCTTTGTTCATTTTATGGATCAATTATTTCAAATCGCTAAAATTCATTTAAAGTTGGTAGTTACAAACAAACAAACAAACAAAAGAAAAATCATTTGGCAAATGAGCGAAACGTAAATCACATTGAAAAGTGGCATTTTTTTCTCTCACACAAAATTGGCTATATAACTTCCGTTTGAAAAACAGAATTCGCCTCTAGTCAGTCATATTTAATCTCTATAATGAAAATTCTTATCACAACCACACATTATGCATTTTTAAACATAGGAAACATTCTATTGACAATTTTTGCTATATTTGAAATGATTTTGTGTTTTTTTCTGTTTTTTTCTTCTTCTTCTTCTTCATCGATTCGCCGCTGTAATCAACAAACAAAGAAAAAAAAAACCATAAAACAAAAAGATCTACATATTACTAAAGTGTTTCTAAATATTCGTTGGACTAAGTATTTAAAAAAAAAAAAAATTAAAAATTAAATTGAGAATGAAAATAAATATAGCATTTTGTTGCCGTGTACGGTAATGCCTAATAATAACAATATGGCGGCGATGTTTCATTTGGTGGGCTCGAATTGAAGTACGCTTTTCGCAATTCGGTCGATTGATCGACAATTTGCAGGCATTGCATCGAACAGTACTTCACTTGAACGCTTGACACATCATCCACATTCGATTTGAGCATGTTGAAATTCGATTTTGGACGTCGACATATTGAACATGTGTCCAAAAATTGGTATTTGTAGATGTAATGCGATTGACATGATTGCGAACAAAACGCATTCAATTTGCCGTTGTGAAGAAGCAGAAATGGGGAGTCTTCTCTTGGGCTTGGCACAAAATACATTTTACAAATGGTACATTGATCTATGGAACGAAAGATAAGACAATATTTTGGATTCATCGATGGAAATATTTGATTTGATTGAAAGAAGACAGTGACTGCGTAGACTGATGGTATGATTTTAATACGTAGAGACTACAGCTTTCAGTGATGTGTCACGTCTTTCTTTTATGTCCCATAATTTTGGAGCATAGAATCTACATAAAATAATTGATTTGCAAATACAACACTGCTAAAACGGTTGTTATACCTGGAAATAGTCCGTGCGAAGTCTTCAAGTGAAAATAGCAGGAAAAGGAGCAAAATGTATGCATCACGCCATTAACTTGAAGAAAAATATCCACTGGCTTCGTCAACAGGCATTGGTAGCACGATTTCTCGGTGAATTCTCCGCAGTTTTCATAGAGTTCTTTGAATCGCGTACGACAGGTGGATTGACAGAATCCATCAGAATGATTCATGGTAGTGATGGTATTTCGGCAAAATCGGCAGAATTTCATCAAACCGAAAAACGTTTTCTCGCACATTTCGCTGCAGAAGCAGTACATTCGATTGCCAATGATGTGAACATTGGGACCGATACATGAGCCACAATCATTGGAACATGAACCACATCGATAGCGGTCATCGTACATGAATCGTTCGTAGCAAATGTTATTGCAAAACTCTAAATAGCCCCACTGCATAAATGATTGTGTCCGCTTAATGATACGTTGACAGTGGCCGCATCGTTGAATCGGCGTGCATTCTCGTACTTCGGGAGCGGTTATTAATCCCTCGAGATCATCATATGTTCTGATTTGATCTGTATGAAATGCATTCATATGTCAAATTTGGCGCCAATAGCACAATCGATCAATCAACTCACTCAAAATCACCATTTCGTTGCCAGATCGCCCATTCACTGTGCTGTATTCCCCATTCGAAACTTGATCACTTGCGGTTACCGCCGCTACCGACGTCGATTTATCCAACAAAATATAATCTAAACAAAACGCATTTGATTTTAAGTCAATTTCTTTTAACAACAATCGAATTGATTTCAATTACCTTCAATTGAGTCATCGAATTCCAATTCTGGATTGCATGTTGCACATTTCAGATTGAGATTTTTCAAATAGCACCTTTCATCGTTACGCCTGAGCAGTTCGATACTAGTTTCAGCCGATGTTGCACATTTCAATGAACAAAAACAACGATCGTCACACTTGCGACGAATGCAATCATAGAATCGCATACGATGACGGCAAATACAACAGATTGCAGTCGCAGAATCCTCGCGCAAATATGATTGCATGCACAATTCAGTGCAGAACTCTTTGCCGGTACCACCTTCACGGATGATGTACGCGTTTTGACAGTCGTTTGTGAATTTTGATGAACAATGGTAACAAGTTTCTAGGCGACAAAAACAAAAACATTGAGTCGAAAAATCATCAGTGGAGGTTTGAAAAAAAAAAGAATTCATATTTAACGACAAATTGATGAGATTTAAATCAATTCATTTCAATCCTTGTGATCAATAAGAAAAACGTGAAGAAAACGATAAAAAAAAACCAACCGAATTTTTCCGTCTGCTTGTTCTCAACCGTATCCAAACACTTTGCACAACAAATCGACTGAAATATCCCATTTTGAACGGTTCGAACACATGTTGCCTGGCCATCGCATTCTGAGCATGAGGCCAGCCTCTTTCTTTGCCCACCCGAAGTCAACGACAACGATCTACATTCATCCGAACATACGTATTTCGAAATCAGCCCGCTCGTTGTCAAATCCCAAGTTTTTTCAAATCCTTTATAGCATTTATTCGCGCAACAATAACACCTAAACGCCAATGGTGTACGTTCCTCAAAACATTCATCACAAACGAAGGCATAGCAGTTTTTCACATCGTCTCGCAAATGTATGCGATCGTTGTTCAATCGTTTCTTACATACATCACAATTAGGTGCAATTCGATCGATATATTGCTGCAAACACTTTAAACGGCAAAAATTGAAATTTAACCAACGACAATTATAAACACGCTCTATGTCAATTTGACTGCATTGTGTACAGTAATTGAGATTGATTTGAGACATTTCCGAAATTGGTTCAATGTTGTTTTTTTCTGCTTTGAAAATGTGTTTCAAACACAATGGAACACTGCTTTTCTCCCGTTCCTTCTCGAAGAGACGCAACTGTTTTTCCTTCCAAACCGCGACACAAACTGACAGATCAAACACGAAAGATAGAATTCGGCAAAGCAATGACTTTTATGAATTGTTTATATTAACGGTCTTGTCAGTTTGAAGTGATGCTATGGAAATTTCGATACAGCGCTATGCTAACTGTCAAAACAATCTTGCTGGATTACTATGTATCGCTGTTTGAATTTTGTATACACCGAAGAAAGAATCAGGCGGAAAAATAAACAGTTTTACTGAAAGTGGTCTTGAAATGTGCAGTGTCAAAGGCATTGTGATATGTCGAAAGCGATGGTTGAACAACGAAAAAACACATAATTGGTGCAAAGCGTAGATTCAAAACGGTCATTTAGATCGGTTGATGTGACACGGAGAGAATGGATGCGATTGTGTGCGCGGTGCGCTCTGTGTGAAGTGATTCTCATTATGTGGTGACACAGAATGTTTTGTGTACGTTTAAATCGGTTGAGCTGCACCCATGTGCTCGATCCATTGTATTCTATACTGATTGATCCGAGACCGTGATTTATAGATCGTTTGTATTTTTCGTTTTCGTTTTTTTTTTTTGTTGTTGAACAAAACAAAAGCACTTTCAACTGAACAAAGCGCAGATACAGCCTTTTTGCCTCTCTCTACGGCTTGAACCAAACAATTAATGTAAATCTAGGTAGACGAAAAACCGGAAATGCCAGTTCAGATTAATTGATTCGTAATGCATTTGCATATAATTCGCAGCACGGAATGAATAGTCGTTTCATAATTTCCATGATTGTGAAATCGTGTTTTTTCGGTATTATTTTCGAAATAAATTTTGCCAATTGGTGTCGCATGACAAATTCGCATTTTTGCATCACTATTCCAAACGAACGAACGAACGAACGAAAGACAGTAGAATTTTCCATTCAAAATTGATTATGATTCTTAGTCGCTATCATTCCATCGAATCAAGAAATGCGGTCGATATAAAAGCAATTATTCAAACGGGCGATTGAACGATACAATATTGATGGCTGTGCTGAAAAAAGAAAGAAATTACCGTTAAGCGATGAGCCAAACATTCAACTCCAGCGCAAAAAAAAAACGTTCTATTGCTATTTGCAACGTATGCATTGTGTCGACACCGTATATTGGCGCACGCTGCCCTTGTCTTAGTCTCAAATGTTTTCTTCATGCTAACGACACATCAACGAAAACAATTCTCTGTCAAAAATGATACACATCGATAGAACTGATGAGTGATTGCTGTTGCTGTTGCTGTTGCTGTCGTCGTGTTTCTTTTTTTGGTTGTATGCGAAATGGATTGTGCATGGTTCTGAATACATCGCATGTTCGTCGTCGATTTTGTGTGTGGTGCAAACGAGCGCGCCCCAGTGCCAAACGTATGTGTGCGGGTGCCTTTGTGTCGCTGCCTGAATCGTTTGAACGCTACTGAACTGCGTGAGTAAGTGAAACACGGTTTTCAGTTTCGGTTTCGTCTAACGCAAATCCACAACTGGGCTGTATGCGTGTGTGTGTGTGTGTTTGTGCATTTGCCAAATAAGCATTTCGTACCCATACACAGAGACAAAATGTAAGGCAGCAGCAGCAGCAGCCGTACGGTATGGAATGTGTACCGTTTGTTGCGAATATCCTCGACATTCAAGTGATGTGTTTTGCGTCGATATTACACGCCGGTCGGTGTTTTCCGCAATAACATTGTTTATTCCTCTCAGTTATCGTTTTGTGTTCATTCCCATTGGATTCGTTGTGTTATTTTTTTTCCCTAGTTTTCTTGTCGGTTTTTTTACTTTGAAACAACACACACTGTGTGTATTTTATATCGTTGGCTGTGTGTACTTTCCTTTCAGCTAGATAATCTACAGTAAATTAACATAAATTTAAAAAGGTGTTTATCGTGATTTTATGTGATTCTTTACATTTTGAAATTGTCCGATAAATTTTAAGTTGCTCTTAAGTAAATTGTGTAATTTTCACTTCGTTTTCTACTGTTCGGTTCCATAAAGTGGCCATTCGATTTATGTCGAGCTTCTGAATCAATCGAAATCGTTGTGCAATTGATTTTGTTGTATGTATGTTTGAAAAGAAATTGGTTCATTTGACAAGAGTTCATTCGACTGTAATAAATCGAGTGGCCAAGTGAAGACGAAGGATTGGAAAACCCAAATAAAACAGCGCAAGACCAGACTTCCGCATGTGCATTGTAAAAGAATGAGAGAGCGGAAAAAATCGATTCAATACACACGAAAATTTTGCTGCACGATGGAGAACATAAATATCAGCGTCATCTTGCACACTGATGATGCACCAAACAGAACCATTTGAACTGTGGACGATGTGCGTACATGATTATAGTACATACTGCGGATAGAGTTTGAAACATAATAAACGGCTTAGTCGCCGTTTGCTCTGCCACAACATGCCAGCACTCTTACAAATATGCTTTCATTTTGAACTAATCGAATGCAACACATGACAAATGGCCCCAAAACAAATAAACAAACCCAACAAAAAACAAGGGTTTACAAAAGGCGAGAAACACGCGCTTTGCACGAAATGAAATATTTACTGAGAAAACAAAAACAACAGACAAGATACATTTTCTAAGATTTACTCACAGAAATAATTGCGAAAATTATCCCAACCAAACACATACAGTTGCCGTCTGCAAACGTAATAACAACTCTATTTTTTACGTTTTTGCTTACAGAGAGACTTAGGTTTTATGTGTGCAGTTTTTTTTTCTTCATTTGGTTCCATGTCATTGTCAATTTGTTGCGCTCACTTGAAACATTTATGTTTTCATGTACGATTGATATAAACGTGGCTACAGCCATACACACGGAACTACACAAAATAAACATAATTTCGGCTAAAAATATTACATTGGAATTAATTTGTCTCCAATTTTTGTTTGTTCTCTCTCTAACGCTCTTTCTCTCTCTCTCTCTTACTTGAGTGAAAAAGAGAAAGAGCCAGTCGCTTGCAGGCGCTGTATTCTATTCTCCGCAAATGCTTACGTTTATCGTAGGTAATTTAGATCATCTGTTCGAAATTTTCTCTTTCTCTCTCTCTCTCCCTGTCTTCGTGTTTTATTCACACCGTCAAACGCATAGAAAAACGGTCAAACGGTATTAAGTGGCTGAAGTTATCATTAGCGTCAAGAATATTGATAATAAATGATTGTCATAAAATTTGGTTGCGCTAATAAAAATCGTGTAACGCCGTGGTGTTCGTGTAAAATACGATTGAATGTACTCAGTGTGGTGTGTTGTCGCAAAAATGAACAGGGCAAAAAAACACACGTGTGAGAAAAAAAAACCAAACAAATTTCATTTGTTGTTACTTATTTGCGACCGTTGCACGTGAAATGGCCGAAAAATGTCAAATATTTCATATTTAATGGGCAGAGATTAGAATGAAAAGCGGAATAAAGTGGGCTATGTGCGACGCTCTACACTATTTCAATTATTTATAATCCGAGAGCTCGGGGAATAGTCGATTTCTTGTTCTTCGATTTGCGCATTTCGATAAACATTTCGAAAATAATAACAATTGTCTACGACGACACAATCCCAACATATTGACACATACACACACACACACCATTCATTTAAATTGCAAACAGAAGAGACACGCTACTTTTTGCTGCTTGCAATTTTGGTGCTGCTGAATTTCTCACTTATTTTTGTCGTTTCTTTTTCGACTTTTAATTCTTCGGTTCCGTTTCATTTCGGTCGAGTCGCATTTGATTGTTGGACAAGTAGTTTTTTTTTGCAGAAACTAACGAGCACTGCACCACAATCAATAGCGTGAACAACACACGAAGCAGCAGTAACATAACCGCATTAATGACATCAGAAGAAGAACCAAACAACTGTGTCAAGTTCATCGTCGAGTGTTAAACCCTTTGAGCGTGTATGTGTCCAAATGTTTTGCCACAATAAAATCATAACAAAAGCTGCTTCAATAGAATAACATTTAAAAGAAATGGAAACGATTTGAATGCTGCACTAAAAGGGACAAACAGCAGAAAATAACACATTTTAACTGGATAGTTCGTGATAATTGCTAATTAACGTGCGTGAATTATTTTTTTTTGTTTTTTTCTTCGTTTAAATCAGTACAGAAGAGAGGCAATATTAACCAACTAATTTCGTAACAATGGAAGTGTGCTGCTTGAAAATGGCATCCAGATGCAGGTAATTTCATGGATTTTCGGAAAACAATTTGTGTCGATTGCTTTTTTTTTTATTGTGTAGATGTAGATTGAAAGTAATTTCTGAAAATTGAGACGAATTCACGGGCATTTCGTATTGTGTGATGTTTTCACACTGACGTATTTGAATCACAAAAGAAAATTCTTGGTTCTCACTTTGCGAGGAATGTTAATTAGAATTGAAATTGCATTTTATAGAATAATGGAATGAGAAAAATGTTTTCACAGGAAGAATATCCCAAAAGAATTTTTGAAAAGAAATTGTTTCTCAACAAAAAATTTCGCATGAAAATTGTGGCTTAGATAAAGTTTGATTGAAAATATTGCCATAAATATTGGGATAACCAATTGAAAGTGAATGATTTTTTTCAAGTTTTTGTATCAAAATAAGCTGATGGTGGTGGTTTCGTGAATTGAGCAATCAAATGATGAAATCGATTGTTTGCAAGTTTTGCTTCAATCAAAATGAATGTTTTCCTCGAAGAATGAACAACATTGTCATTTTTAATCTCGAAACACACACTGCATCCCCTTTCACAAACGAAATAAGATGAATACTTAAATTGCAAAATGAAAACATCTCACTAAATTGACATCGTAGGTAGATTATTTGTTAGGCTTGAATCAAAAGTAAATGGAAATTCCTCGGTTGTACTTCTATTATCATCGTACAAAGATTATACCTATATGGATCTGGTTCATGTTTACCCTTTTAAGCGATGATAATAATTGTTTCGTGAAATTTCGCGTCGTTCCTTTTCGTATCGATTAGAGAGTGTATGATGTTGTTTGATGGGTGTGTGACATTGAAAAATGTCGACCAAAATGAAACAACCGCATGTTCGTCAAAGTGAAACGAATGGTTTCGATTTCGGGCGACAATAAAAGCCGAAACATTTCTGCATTGTATGCCACAGTCACCGTATTAATTGTGAAAATGGTACCGAATTTCCGAAACAATGGCATTACATCATGTTTGCGTTTTAACGGAAAGTAAATAAATAAAAACAAAGAAGAAAAAAAAAGTGCGACGACGGCCGATAAAACTTAATGGCAAAACGCGGGCAAAAACCAAACAAAAATGTGTATTGTTTGTGCCGTGCGACAAATGGCCGAAAAAAGAAACGCGCTCGCAATGGTTCCAGCCGCTGTTGTCGCTAGAGAATGAGAAAATCGATGATGAATCAATGCCAGCGTCTGTATGTTTGTAAACAAAACGACCAAATATTTATTTCGTCAGCAAAGTGTATGTTCAAGTATAAAAATATTAATTAACTACTTATTCACTGGATGCCATTTTGCGGCACTTTTGTTTTCATTCAGCATTGCGAGTTTGTTTGAGCATCTGCTTCGCATCACAAAAAGACGAGGTGAGGAAGCGCAAATGGTTCGCAGTGAATGAATATTTTGACACCGTAAGTCGTTTATCATGTTGTTGTTGAATCCAAAATCGCGACAGACGGTAATTAAAACCATCCAAACAATGCGAACGAATGATAAATCTTTTTCCCTTTTGCATCATCGCAAATAAAAAGGCACCCAGCACACAACTAACAACTAACATCAGATAAAGTGCGTTTTATTCAATTTGCGCCATTCCGTAAATAATAATCAAAAGTCACGATCACATTGCATCGGATTAATTGGAGCCGAATGAAGCGAACGAGCGACACGAAATATCTGAAAAAAGAAAACGAAAATGCATAGAAATAAACATAAAAAATCACTCTGATAACTCAATTAACATTGGCAATTTCAAGCCCCATTGATAATATCCAGTTATCCGCCGTTACAATAGGCAATTTATACCTTGAACAATTCATCTGGTACTCTTTTTTTTAGACGGAACAAAATACAACGAATTTGCACGCAACGAATTCGTTTCTATTTTTCGTTGTTGTTGTTAAATTGAATCGTCAAACAAACTGGGAATTGTTATCTGCTTTGATAACAATTGTTTCTCACTTGAATAGCGTTTCGTATGCTCGTTTTTTATTGCGTTGAGTTTTTTTTCGAGAATTTTTATTTCTGGCGTCGATTACAAATCTGTAAACAAGTCGCCCGCAATAGTAATGGCAACATGTCTCTCGCACACCTTTTTTCGGGCCAGATAATCTACATCCAAACAAAGGCGGCTGATGGAATCAGTGCTACATCGCAGCTATAGTTGTTACAATCAAAGTCGCTACACTTTGTTTTCGGTACTTGAAAAATGAAAAATAGGGCTAAATCTGTGTATCGCTTAAGTCAATATTTTTGCTAGGCTCGTGATTATTTGCGATAGATAAAAAATTGTTCTACTTGGCCAAAAGTTGGTTGACATTGTCTGCTTCTTGCTTCCCATCTCCCCGTACCTCTCGAAATTACTTAAACATAAACACTTGCGTGCTTGTTCTCCCAAATACGCGCCGGCTCAAATTGTTCTTGTCAAAATAAGAAAACGATCATACTTGTCCAGCCGAAATGATGCCAACCGTTTTTGTGGCCGCTCGATCGCTCACATGGACTTTTATTAAATTATTGTAATTTTTTCTGTCTCGCCACGAATGGCAACCCAACAACTCCGACAACAATGCGCGACATTGTTTTTTCGGACTAACTTTTATTAATTACCATTTTTTATGTTCTATTCACTGCGATATACCAAACCACACGGAATACCGCACCATTTGAATTAAACGCATTTGTTTGCAAGTCGCACAATTCCATGCATTCCCCATTTTTGCGCACACAGTCTATCTCTTGCGCACACTGTGTCTGTGTGTATTGCTAAATCATTTGAATTACATGGCATATTTATCATATGTATCACATCTATTTTATCTCATTATTGGTCGTTTTTTCAAGTCATTTGGTACTGTGTCAACGAGATTTTTGTATTTTAGTTCTAGCTGTGTACAAGTAACGAGTCTTCCCTTCATTGCCTTTGCTACAAATACAATGCAAAAAAAATGGAAATGTCACCCGCACGCGGCATGCAATTCCAGAGCCCAGATCGTTATGGCTCACCAAACACTGGAAATTAAATCAATCGAATCGATCGAATCGAATGATCGATGAACAATGAAATTTTTTTTGACAAGTTCCAAATGGATGAACTCGTCGCGAGTAAATTGAATATGACACCCAAGTCAAGAATGTGCCCAGAGAGTGCCTATATGAGAAATTGTTCAATGCAAGTGAAACAAAACAAATCGTTTCTTGTTTTGCTGCATTAGACGATAGAAAAAAGTGTGCAATTCTCAGTGCCAATTGAGAGATACACATCGTTCGCTTAGAATGTTCTAATCGTAAACCGCGTCATGCGCCAAGTATCGCATTACATTTTGTTGTTGTTTTTTTTTCGTGCTGTGTTTTGTTACTGTTCGTGTTCTTCGTTTTCTCTCTTGTCTTGTTGTTGTCTCATTCGAGGAAAAAAAAAGAAAGACAGAGAAAAAAGCCGTGTTACACTAAACTAAATAATGTAATAACATCGATCGTCAATTTATATCGATGTTACGGCATTTGCGATGATTATATTGCTTTGGCCGATTTAATTTGTTTTCGCATTGTTTATAGTTCGTTGAAGAAGTTAACGAAAAGAAAAACCAATAACTATCTTTCTTTGTGGTTATAGCATAGAGACCGACATTTTTCTTGTTTGCAATCGCCTTGCCCAGTGCGCACACAGTCCGACGAAACCGCAGAGAGTCAAATTGTAAATGCGTGAATGCACAGAGAGCCACCCGTTTGGCAGCCGATATATATGCGGAACAAAAAGTTGTTGCACCAACAATCTCTCGTCGAATTGAATATCATGTCGAAACAATTACGAACCATACACATACCAATGGAAAAAAAACTGATTATTTTAGATTAAATTAAAAAGAATTATAACAAATTAATTTCTATTTGTTTCGAGTTATTTCGAAAACGATAGTGTTTGGCTTCCTTCTTCGCTTGAGCACGCATCAATATTCTCGTTATTATCGAATCTGTTTTTTTTTCTCCAATATTTTGTCTGCTATGCAATTGAAGGAGAAATTATCTGCTTCCGAAGCGAATAGCTGATTGTGGATTATGTCATAGACAATTTTTAATGACACACACTTACTTCCGTTCAACGGAAGGTATTCGAATTGTGCGAGCACTTATGCACGTTCATACCAATTCAATTCACGTTTCAAACGCCTTTTTCCCATTCGATTTTGTCGTTGTGGGCTATTTGTTATTGTTTTCGCGTGTCGCAATTACCCGGCTCATATTCCAGTAAACTAATTGACATGGTTCGATGGGCTTTTCAAAAAATTGCATTTTACTCAATAAGCATTTACTAATCCGGCTTCATTTGAGAACGTGTTTTAAACGGTGTGTGGCCTAGCGATTTTCACGGAAAATCTTCCGAACGATTTGGTGAATGAAGTCGAATAGATGAGTCGAGTTTTAAGTCTAATCCGGGTGCAATTACTGAAAATTACGACGTATATTCGACGATTTTAATCGCATCGAACGGCAGTGAAATGCAATAACTTGATTGATGATCACAAACACTATGTATCGATGTGTGTGTGTTCGTGGAAGCCAGAGATGTTATTCGATATGTGCAATGTGCATACTGTCAGAGTTGTCGTCGTCGTCGTCGTTGTTGTTGTTGTTGTTGTCGTTATCGAGTAGCGTTCTGAGGGGGTTCAATTTTCATACACTTTCTACACGTAACCAAACTTGAAACATAGACACGACGCGTATCAGTCTTTTTCAACACCACATAAAACTTATTTGCAACTCGTGCGAACTGCAATTAGCCAGACACTTTACATATGCTCCCAGTTTAGTTAGTTGCTGCTGCTGTTGTTTTTTTTTCCCCTCCTTCTCTTTTTCCATAATAATTCAGTGAGTGAGTCTTGCGGTTTTCAACTGATATATGCAAAAAATCTAAGCAAATTTGCGTCGTATAGTAGAAATTGGCAACGGTGTTTCGTGCACGAAAGTCAAGGTTTTTCCATTTCCCTCATGTGATTGAATTGCCAAGTTCATATCCGCTTTATTGCGAATGGTGTGTTGTGGCGTTGGACAATCGTCTGTCGTACGACTCGTCTAATCCAAACGATAGACGTGTTCATAAGCTAAACACATTCGATGCATGCACATTTACGGAATTGATTTGTTCGGCTCAACATGAACAAGAACTTATGATATTTCTGACGATACCATCATCGTAATCGATTCGACCAAGAATATCAATTAAATCCAATCGACCGATTGAATCGATCCGGAGTTCGATCGCACGAGAATGGTTTGACGTTGAACGGAATACGGCAAACAAGTCTGAACAAACGAATCCACGAACTAAATTGATTGCCATTCATTTCCTGCCTCGTAAATTGTATAACATTTCACACATCAACGAATTGTGACTTGGACGAATTGTTCGCTTTCCTTTTCCATGGAGCGTCTTTTCGCCAGGTTCAGACACACAAATATGAGAAGCTAATATTTTCGAGGGGTGATCAAAAGATTATACGTGCACCATATTATATGTAAAGATAGCATTTCATATGGTTTCCATTTCCATTTGCCTTAGTTTGAAAAGAACTTTCGCTGAAAATGCCCTTACTTTTACTATCGTTGACGCTTCTCGTGGATTAGTTTCTATCAACAAACGAGCATGTTAACCACGTGTATGTGTGTTTGTTTGTGCGTCGCTTTCACTCCACATTAAATTACTGAATTCACATGTTTCAACCGTCACATTCCGATATTCTCGCATGATTCATTCACGTTTCTCATTTTGCCAATTCGCTAAACAAAATCAAATTTGAAACGATGGAAACACTTTTTTTGGGGTAGAAGAATATTTTTGCAAATTTATTTATTTTCATCACGATATCGCGTGTGCTAGATGACTTTACCAGTTTGGTAAAGAAGTTTGCAACTTTGTTTTCAATATAATCAAAAGTTTTTGCCAGGATTTTGCACATTTTAGGCCATAATAAAGAACATTTAAACCGATATAACCAAATTGTGCGCTGTCAAACTTTGTCTCGCTCACGCCAACTGTCGCACTGACTCGTTCGTGTACGAATTGCTGTTAGCGTAAAAGAGACTTTGTTCGTAGTGGACTCAGTTTAGATGTTCTTTGTTTAATCTTTGATTGCAAATTTTAAGGCAACCCTAAGCAGAATTGGAGCATTATTTAAGTTGAGAATTTATTCGATTTTTTTTTTCGTCGTTATTTTACAGGCCAATGAGAGCTGTGATAGCCGATGTACCCAAGATACCAACAGTCAGCACATCTCACGATTGTGGCTCGTTGTCACGCGTGGTCATGGTTCGTAAAACGGACCATCGAATGATTAACCATAAAAAACCGGAAGCGGTAAATACGCACAATAATTTCAGCAAAATTTGCATTTGCATGGTTTAAAATAAGTTTGAATTGAATGCTTTATTACATTCCATTTCAAATAATTGTTTAACACAATTTTTAATTTCTCTATTTTCGATTAACTTTTTATCGTTTTCGGTTCCAGGATCCGCAATGTGAATTCTTAACATTTGAAACGATACAAACGTACCGTGGCCATAAGCCGGATCGAACGATTGTGATGAAGGAAAAGCATGATATGTGCGAATCAGAAGCACAACGGTCACCATGTGCACAACGATTTCTTCGATCAAATGCGAATAGTGCATCGGAAACACCAAATGGTCATTTATCATCGTCGGAAAAGGAAAATGAAGAACAAAAGAGCAGCAACGAAACGGATAAGGGAAAGCTGAAGAAACAAACGAATGCCGATATTGAAGCAGCCAAGAAACGTGTTACAATACTAAAAAATTCACTAACGCCACCGGTTTCATCGTCAAGCACACCGCAACGTGTCCGTCGTTCACAATCGCTTAGCTCAACGCGATCGACGACGTTCAGCGAATTTGAAAAATCCTGTCTCAAAGCACACAATGAATACCGCGCCAAGCATGCTGTGCCACCGTTAAAACTAAGCAAACGCCTGTGTCGCTTTTCCGAGGAATGGGCAAAGGTAATGTTTTCAATGATTATATTTTTAACGAAAGAAGGACTTTTTTTCATTCTCGTACAATCGCTGTTCTGCAGATTCTAGCATCAAGAGGAACACCGGTGCATCGAAATAATTCACCCTATGGCGAGAATATATTTTGTTCATGGAGTTCGATTCCGAATATGGTGGTCAAAGGATGGGAACCGGTCGAGCATTGGTACAGTGAAAATGTGAATCATTCTTATGGCAAAGAGCCATCCACATTGAAAACCGGCCATTTTACACAAGTTGTGTGGCGAGATAGTCGTGAGCTTGGTGTTGGCATGGCCAAAAATCGAACCGGTCAAATTTTCATTGTTGCCAATTACGATCCTCCAGGCAATTTCATTGGTAGCTTTACCGAAAATGTACCACCAATTGGCGGTTTCGATGAAACACAACTGGAAAATGTCAAACGATCATCGGTTTCATTCGAATCGTTTCTTGATCCAGACAAAGAGGATGACTTGAACTTGGAAATATTCATCAAAGCCGTTCTGCGATATCACAATGAATACCGGCGCAAACATAACGTTCCCGAGCTCAAGTAAGATTTTCAAAAAGATTTAAGAAAAAATATTCGCGAATTATGTTTAAAACGAATATCGATTGACTTACTAGTAAACAAACAAAACGAACTGAAGACAAATTTAAATCGTCCCGTTTGCAGGTTAAACAAAAAATTGTGCACCATATCGCAAGAATGGGCCGATACATTGGCGGCTGAAGATCGATTTGCGCATCGGCCAAATTCAAATTATGGCGAAAACATCTACTGTCTCTGGTCATCGGATCGAAATGCAAAGGCCAACCCAAGAGAAGTGTGTCGTTCGTGGTACGAAGAAATCAAAGAGCACGACTTTGCTGTCGAACCGAAGGGCATCTTTAAAGCCGGTCACTTTACGCAATTAATATGGAAATCATCACAGGACTTGGGCGTTGGTGTGAGCAAAACGAAAAAAGGCAAAGTACTGGTCGTATGCAATTACAATCCACGCGGTAACATTGCCGGCCAATTCAGCACAAATGTGCTAAAAGCACGTTAACATTCAGGCATTGTCACTCAAAACACTGTATTTCATTTCACTTTTACACAATTCAATCGAAGTATTTTCAAAATATTCCGTCAATTTCATCAACAATTAGGATCGAAATGGTTTTGCCGTGAAGAAAAAAGTGAAACACACACTGTACGTGTGTAGAACATTCTGTTTTTTTTTTTTTTTGTTCAGTATTTCGACAAATGAGTCGGTGCTTACGTCGAAGTTTTTAATTAAAATACCATTGAATCAAATTAAAATGCAAATGAGAAATTCAAAAAGCCCAAGAGTGAAATGTACGCAATAAGAAGTGAATTGTTTTTTTTTTCAAATATGTACCTGTGTATATGAAGTATGTATGCGTGAACACATACATATATAGTTAGGCATGTGTTTATTTGTTCTTAAGTTACCAACTAAAGAACAACAGTTGCGTGTGTGCTGTTAATCATTAGATGTATGTCATAAGGATATCAGTTGAGAAATTCAGTTGCAGTCACCAGCAATGAGTGAAATTAGTAATTAGAATAAAAATGAAAAAAAAAATCGGAACCCAACATAAGAAAACGAATAAGATTGAGATTGCCTTCAATTTAGTATGTAAAATTGCGTAAGAATCGTAGAAACATTGTTACCGAAAAGCCTTGGATCCAATTTAAATGCATAATCAACCAAAGTTTGGAACATCCAGCCATTTTACCAATTTTTTCTACTTCTTTTTTAAATTACACACACACACACACACCATCACTTTCCCGATCTTATTTTTGTTGTTGCTAGAATTAATAAAAACCAAACAAACAACTATTTAATTTACGCACATACACAATCACACACAATGCAAACCGAATTTTATCAATCTTTCAATTGAGTCATATATTTAATATACACCCTAGTGTATCAATATTCAGTAAGAACATTCAAAGTTATGAGATAGAATTCAATAGCAATTTAATATTTAAGTCACATCAAAACAGTATTCATAAAATTATGAGAGAGGAAATGGTCGATTTCTTTGATTGTTTTTTGCTTGAAAACACAAAACACCAAATCAATATAAATGATATGAATTCATTTAATCTAGTCCAAAACACACAAGTATACAAATATGTATATCCATTCGGATGATCAAGTAGCATCCGAAGTTGCGCAAGATAGTTATAATCAACACATTACTATAAATCATATTCAATTGTTTTCTTTTTCACAATTATTGCAATGAATAAAGAACCCGGAACAGTCAAAATACATTACCTGTGTTTTTTTTCATTAAAAATCGAATCGTCAATGACGCGGTATGTGTGTTTGTCCGACTAGGCACACGCTTCGTCTTAATTACTCTTTTTCCACACCTCAGAGAGATAGTGACATCTCATTTTTCGCGACGTTCAGTCAGTCGAATATCGTCAACGTGATCATTTCGAAAACAAGTCGAAAATTCACGAAGTAATGAGAGAAAAAGACAACAAAAGAACCGAAAAACTAGAAAATTCTGCCAAATTTTGATCGTTTTGTATTTAGATCCGTTGCAAAAAAGAAAAACAGGATCAAGTCATGAGGTCGCTACGTACATCAGTTTTGATCGCATTGATATTACAAGCGAATCTTTCGACGGCATTTTTAGGAGCTCTTCTGAATGGTCTTTTCGGCGGTGGTCTTTTTGGTGGTCAACCGAATGGAATTCAGCCATCCATTTATGCACCAGTGTCGCCAAATAATCAAGGCAAATTGCAACAAGCACAAGCACGTGCTTGGCCAACAACGAACATAGCAGGAGCATTTGATAACCCACCCCGAATTGGTATTTTTGGTGCTGTGGCTTCAATTGTGGATGGTAGAGTATCGTGGATAACTTAAAAAAAACACTTTCAATATAAAGCGAATAATTTTTTTACCTTTATAGCTGTAATACGTGCGACTGGTAATATTCTATCCGCTTTAGGTGGTGGACCATTCTCATATGGTGCTATGATTCCGTATGTAACACTCTGGATTCAATTCGGATTTTTAGTTTATAAATTTTGTGATGGATTTTTAGACAAAATACCAATAACAATGGAACAACGGGTAATGGAAACAGCACAGAAAAGGATAATAATGATAAAAAACCTGAAAATCCAGATGAAGGCTGATTTATTTAGAAATCTGTTCTATTATTATAAGCTGTGTCCATTTTCTGCAACAATAAATTATTTGCACATCTAATTCAGTTTTTACTTTACAACTCGATTGCCCACATGGTAAGATATTAAAAGAAGAAGAAATAATTAATAATAACATTTTAAATTTCGGATGAAATTCAAGGGGACTTCAACAAAAGAATTAAAATTAGGCGCTTACATAAATGGAAATTCTCTCAAATACCTTTGCAATCAATCGAAAAGATCCAAACTGTAAAACCAAATCTAAATGAGTGCTAATAAAGACAGCACAAAAAAAAACAATGGTATTCATATGATTGATTCATCAATTACTTGACATTTTATTTGAATTCGCATCCACAGAACGGGTTTTCCTTAAAAATTAAATTCACTTTGGTAAACTCTGTGCGTTAATGATTCAACTGTTGGTCTATCCGAATTTTTCTTAGTATCAAAATCAGATCAGATTATATTATTTCATCTTAGTATCAGATTCTATCCTTACACAATATTTAAGTAGTCAATTAAAAAGCATGAATTCATCCATCTGTTTGATATGTACTTAAAAATCAAAAAAAAAATTGAAGAGAAAAAAACGAATATTGACTCCATTAAATTGGGGCATTGTCATATGTATTGCGATCTAAACGTCCCTGAACTCTTCGGAAGAGAAAACGGACAAAAACCAGATATAATTCAGCGACATGTTAAAATGTGCGTCATTAAATAGGAACCAATGTTTGCTTTTCTTCTGCCGTCAAATCGGGATGCCAAACATCAACAATTAGAATTAATCGATATGTTGTGCCGTTATGCCATACTTCATGCTCAAACGAATCGTCGAACACCATAAATTTGCCCTCGTTCCAAGTTCTGGAAAATCAGGCAAAAAAAAACAATTGTTCATGAAAAGTTCTACGAAGGTCATTTATGACGTACCTTGTTTCGGTCGCAACACGAATTGACGTTTTGTCAGTAGTTTTAAGGCCCAAGTGCGCTCTTAGTCGACAATTGGTCGGGCCACAATGTGGCCATACATGAGTATTTGGATGCATCACACTGAACTTAACTTGACCTCGCTTACAGAATCTAGCTGCCGGAAATGTTTCAATGACCTTACACGTGAACGGTGTTCGCTTGCAATTTTCCGCATTACGTTTACCACGCGCAAACATTTCAAACTGTTTCCAAATGCCGGTATCGCGTAAATTTTCGGCTTCATCCGTAAAGAAACCATCTTTACTGAGCAGACTTAAGCCTTCGTCTCGGATTTTTTCCCAATTTTGTTCAAGCGTTCGGAATTCATGTTTGTATCCCGTTTCGGCGAGCGTCCAAAACGGTTTTGCTTTCAGATGGTTCACATTGTATAGAGATCGTTGATATTCCGATGGGAAGAGCTTCTTTTTGGCCGCTTCTTTGAACACTTCTTTGGCTCTGTCGTGTCGACCGAGTCGAATGAGTGCATCGCCGAGATGAAAATAAAATCGTCCGTCACTGGTTCCATTTTCGCCCGAATCGATGCCTTGTCGCAAGAAAATCACCGCATGCTCCAGATTATTGTCCAGATTTTTCAACACAAAACCATAGTGAACGGCAGCAAAACCATCGTCACGCCATCGTTGTAGTGTCATGTGTAACACATACTTTGCATCGGCCAGCCTGAAAAGAAAATGACAACCGATCAAAGGTTAAAGTTATTTGTATACCGCTTTAACTCATTTAGATTACTCGAAATGGATTTCGTCGGACTTTTTTTTTCCTTGTTGATCTCACCTGTTGACAAGCAAATACGTGACGGCCAATTGGTTACGATAGTATGGATCGTCATCGAATCGTTCGATTAGCTTTTCATGGATCGGCACCGCTCTGATGTGTTCGCCTAAAAACTAAAATGCGTTAACAATAAACGTTACTCTGAAATGGCCAGCGCTACTGGAGAAATCAAGTACAATTCTAATGTGAATACGTTACCTATGAAACGCATGCGATCGATGCAACGTTCGGCAGCGCTCTTAAACTCGGTGTCATTTAATTTGACACCGAAATCGATGTATTTCCCATATTCATCAATGGCACGTTTTAGCAAACCGTTGCTACGCTTCAAATCGGCCAGATCGTCTAACGCTTTGGCAAGACCATACTGAGCAGCCACCGATGTCGGATGACTTTGACGGATTCGTTCGAATTGTGTTAGAGCGGACTGAGGATCCTGCACACGGATTAGAAAGCATGACAAACAAACAGAAAAAAAAACAACGATTCGCTTGTTAAATTTAATGATTAGTTCGGGTAAACACACGCAGTTGATCAGGTCATCGCACCGTAACTACTACTCTATTTTATGAACATTCTTTTCGTGTATGTGATCATCACTACTTTTTTTTTTCATTTATTCAAGTGAATATTGTGCGACTACTGCAAATAAGTCATTTATTTGGGTTGAAACGATGTGTGTGGGTGTTCCAAATAAACGAGAACTATTTTTGCAGATCGTCGTATCGAAAATTACCAAACAAATTAGACTAAATAAAAATAATGCAAGTAAGTAGAAAAATGTCTGATTACATGACAGTGTCTAATGAAAATTGATGTGTATCGAAAACAGTTCACTCATTTTACAAAAGAAAAATATGTTCAACTTATACCACAGTTAAGAGTGAAATGAGGCAATAAAATGCAGAGAAAACCAAATCTAACATTGAATTTCTTATCGCGAAATCTTGAGTTTCTATCAAACAATTTATTTATCATCAATATATTGTCTAAGAACTAGAAGAGAAAAAAAAACATATTTGAGAAATTGAACCAAAGAAATAAAACTCCGAAATTCATGCAAAACATAGTAAAAGTGCACACACATGCAAATAAAGTATAGGATTTTTTTTTTTTCGCATAAGTTATAGAGGAACAAAAGATATTTCTGAGCAAAAGAGTAACAATTTGATTAATGGGTTATCTAAGGCTATTGAAATTCAAACTCCTTTTTTATCGAGCAATATAAAAGAAGAAAAAAAAGTAAAACAGAAGAGAGAGAGATATGTGATCGAACGACAAAATAAAAATCTAAGTGATGATCAATCATACCTCCGCAAGTTGTTCGTTGGCTCGTCTAATTTCGTCGTCTAGCAGTTGATCTTCGGTTGGAATTGCGGCTGGACCGGAACGATCGATTTCTATTTTATTCAAAAAGGAAATGCGTTAAAATGCAATGGTATTTCGTCGCACACACGCTTTTCATCGGGTGCGATTGGGAAAATGAACAATGTGCGTTTAGTTTTTTGTTGAATTATTTATGCCCTCGAATGATACAATATCGATCGTCTTGAATAAAAACTGTAGCATAGATGGCGCTATACGCCGCCTCACCTGCGACAATGTAACTATCATATAAGAGCAAATAATAAAGACAGTCGTTAACTAGCATTCAACGGGTACACACTCATTCATACTACATGGCGACAAGGTCGAAAGAACATAAGCGCGTGCGTAAGAAAAAATAAAAATCGCGAAAAAATCCAAGTAATCGGATGAAATTAATTAAAATAATATACATCTAATGAAGCTGAGAGCTAAAATCATTTCGTCTTAAATTTTAAAAAAAGAAAAAGAAGTAAATGACTAAAATCGAATCAATTTTGTGTGTGATGTGGTTAGTCATTGATTGTATTTTGGAAGCTAAATACTTGTCCAAGTGGGATCGATGTCCTCGATGTCATAGTCATCGTGATCGTCTTCGTCGTTTGCCACTGGCAATCGGCCATATTTTTCATCAAGTCTTTTCAACAAATCGGAATCGTCGACCGAATCTTCACTGTCTGCATAATTTTGGCCTTCCGACGAAATCTCCTCTTCTTCCTCCTCCGCCTCCTCCTCACTTAGCAACTCTTCATCCATTCCATCGGTGCTGGCCGTTCGCTCATAATCGCTTTTCAACTCTATTCCATCACTGGCACCAATTACATCTTCGTCCGAATATAAGATGTCGGCCGTTTCATTTTGTTTCGATACAATTGTCTCTGATTGGGATGATTCAACAGTCTTGACACTTTCTTAGTATATTCAACGATGTGGACAAACAATTGGAAAATAAAAGAAGAAAAAAAAGAGTTAGTGCGTCTGAATGAATGAATTGAATTTGAGTATAATGTACCAGCGATTGTTGGTATGGTTTCGATAATGGTCTCCTTTGTCTCTTCATCGCTCGATGGGATTGGCTCTTCGGCGGTGACTAAGGTAAAGCGACGCTTCATTTCAAGGAACTCAGCACTTTGCTCGTCAATCGTTTCGCTGTCACTTGTCGCTTTCGGCTCATCATCCACATCTTAGATAGGATCAAATAACCATTGAACATTCTTATCTTTTTTTTTTTGAAGCAACGATCGGAAAAACAGCGATTGTGCAACAACGACAACAATAACAGCCATATCACCACAACATTGATCAATCGCCAAGCATCAAACTCTCCAAACAATTAACAAAAGCATAATTCCGCTCTGTGCTCGCTTCGGGATTTAAATATTGGTTTAGTGCATTCGCAGCCATTCAAATCCATACTCCACTCTGTCTAATCATTAGTTTGTATGGCGATAAATTAGATTGAACGACATCAAAACATGTAAATCTACTTGGATCCAACTAAAAGACTTTCAGTTTGGACTTTTTTTTCTGTATTTTTCTTCTTGCCAATTGAAATGTTTGCATTAAAAAGCCACGAAAAGGATTTCAATCTTAGCACATGCAAATTGAAAATTTAGTTTGTCACATCGAAATGGAATTCATATTCATTGCTTTGCAGAAGTAAAGTTTTCAATTGAAACTGTTACAACAACACACTAAAAATATCGATATGATATAAGCATATAAATTGTGCTGTGCTCGAATAATTGATATAAAACGGTTATTTTTCAAATGAAAAAGAGAGAGGTGTTTTTGTGGAGAATCCTTGTTCAAAAATGCGATAAATTTTCTCGTTTTATATCAATTGGAAAGGAAAAAAAAACTATTAGGAATGAAATGAGCACATGAATCGATGAGGCATAGAGATTTCTTCATTTCAACTCACTCGTTTGTGGTCTTTTGAGTAGCACTTGGTGTGCAACAAGCACTAGGGCAACACCGACAATGATTCTTACAGCAACTGGAATATTCATGTTATTCATATTTTTTGTTGTAATATTCAAAGTTTCCCGTATTCAATTGGAAATTCCAATTTAAAACATTTGTCTATAGCTAAGATATTGAATTGTTCCCTACGCACACTTAGGCTTAGATCATGAGTTTTTCTACTTAACAATCGATTTAGTAGTTATTTTTTTTGTACTTGTTTTGCTTTTATCATCAAAATTCCATAAATAATTCAACAAAATCTATTCACTGCACTGTAAAGGTATTTAGTGTGTGTTAGCACTTACGTGAGCTCCCTTCGTCCTCTTCTTGAGGTTCTGGTTCGATTTCATTGCCATCATCGTCTAGGGCTGGTGAGTCTGAATCATTATCGTTGTCGATTTCATGGCCATCATCGACTAGAGCTGGTGAGTCGTCGTCGTTATCATCGTCTTGGGCTGGTGAGTCGTCGTCGTTATCATCGTCTAGGGTTGGTGAGTCGTCATTATTGTCATCATCTATTCAATAAGATAAGAGATCATTTAATAACACTTGTCGAGTACATTGCTGCTTCTTATTGTTAATTTGACACTGCATATATAAAGCGGTCACTAGTCATATGCATACTTATGTATGAAACGTACACAACATTACAACACAGTGCTTTTATTCCCTACTTTGTTTGTGTTATTTTGTGGGGGAAAAAAGAATTTTACGAAAAGAATTATCAACATTGATGGAATGTATGTATAAGAAGAGACGATCAGCTATTTTTAAATAAATGTTAGCATGTAATTTGATCGTAAACACTGTTTACTAAATCAGTTGAATCAGTAATATTTTACTGAACATAAATTCATAATGGATTCTCTGCGTCCATCCGAAAATTTGAAAATTACGAAATCAACCCATTTGATTCATTAAAAAGACCAAGCTCGCGGCGTAAAAAACGAGCTTAGGAAAAAGATATATTATTATTTATGAATCCCAATTATTAATAACTTGATGGTTCGATGTGCTGCCACTACTACTGAAACACACGTGGTATTGCTGTTATTATTATGTACTTTGGCTGCATATGTTTCCAGATATGCGAATCATGCTGCAAACATATGAACTTAAAACTATTTGCTCATGAAACTCTACGTACCGTCATCGGCTTGTTCCTTGTCGTCATCAGCAATACCTTCGTCTTCATCGTCATCATTCTATAGTTGAAAACGATCGAGCGACAAAAACGATTATAATTATAATAATTCTTCCAATGTTTACAATCATAATTTTTCATAAAAATTATTCGAATTTCGAAGTATTGGGGCTTGTGCATTAAAAATGTCGGTTTTCCCGTAAAATGATATAACCAGTACTATATCGCATTGAGAAATATTATCGCTACCCTTATGTTAGAGTACTGTCATTATACCATTTCTTCAGTATGTCTCAATTTTCTAAAGTCGAGAGTTATAATATTTTTCGGGATGATATCTGTAAATTGCCTGGAATACAGGCAAAGAATGTCGCTTCATTTGGCCAATATATGAAACGTATTGTACCATTTTTTTAAAATAAAATTGTTTTTTTTTTGAGAGAAAAAAAGGACATTATTGATGCACACACCCAATACTAAGCTTTGACTGATCAGATAACTGCTTTCAAATCGATTCAAGTGGCTTCTTACATCATCGACTTCTTTATCTTCATTTTCATCATCATCATCATCATCCAAATCTGCTGGATTATCATCTTCGTCGTTATTTTCATCCTAAGAGAATAAGGGGAAATTATGCAGTTGATCGGTTTGTTTGCAATTTGTTGTACGTTGAAATCCATTTGATTTGAAAATTAATCGGTTTTTTTTTGTTAAACAAACATGCGGAAATAATAAGCTTACCATTTTCCGTGCGATTCTTTTTACGTCCCTTGTATTAGTGTCATGGAGTTGGGAGCGATTCAATGTTTTAGCTAATTTGTTATAATTATCAACTAAATCGTCAACTTGTTTTTTAAGTTGCGATACTGTAACCTGAGCTATATCTTCTATGGTACTCGTATCGATTGACCGTTTCTTAATATTTTGAGCATATTTTGTATTAGTAGCATGAGAATTAATCGGTATGTCATCATCAATCACAGCATCAATTGTTAGTTTTGCACTTTTTGACAAGCGCTATAATTATTTTGAATAACCAACAACAAATTAATCGTTAATAATAAAAATCAATCGGTTAACAATCAAATATTTTCCCTACTTCATCATTTTCATCGTCATCATTATCTGCATTGGCACTGTCCTCTGTTTCACCACTCTCGTCGAAGCCTTCATCTTTCTCGTCGTCATTGTCCGCGTCATCTTTTGTCAGTTCGGCTTCATCTGTACCAGTGATTGAAATATGAACAATTCAGAGCTATCGGTTAGAGAAAATCTATTATTCCATTAAAAATGCCAGCCCCGAAGAGACAGAGACTAGGCTTTATTTGGTATTTTTAAGCCATCCACGCCAAACAATTTCACTAGCAATAATAAAAGTGATCAAGTGCTAGAACAACAGTCTCTTCTCTCAATGTGAACTATCAAAAGCAACTTGCTCGATTTTTATTCAATGCATGCTGTCAAATACAGCTTACCCTAATTGTAGAACCATTAGACGGTGAAATGAACGCAAATCATTTCGAATGGCTTATTATGCATTTATCTTTTATATCTAAAAATTGGGTAAAATGAATATGCCTACATTCGAATCACAACCATTTGGGGCTGCATTTTCTCATTTAGAACTAACTATTTCAATCACTGATCTGCACTCAAGTAATATGAGCGTAAGTTGACTTTCTATTCAATAAATGTGGTACTACCTTCATCATGTTCATCTTCCTCGTTCTCTTGGCTATTTGCTATGTTATCTTCGCCGTCTTCATGCTCATCGTGCTCATTGTGTGAATCGGGTGGTGCGTGAACATCATGCTCATCGTGTACTTCTCGCTCTTCGTCCACCCATCCCTCGAGCATATCCGCAAAACGAGATTCTGACAGCGGTGTATCCACTGCAATTCAATATCCATTTCAGTTTAGAATGAACGATTAAACATTCGTTGTTTGTGTATACTTACAATCAGATAGGCCTCGATTTTCCAGTAAAATCAATCCAATTAAACCTAACAATATTGCCAGCAGAGAGAAAAAGAAGATTTTTGCACACCAATGGCCTCCCGTTCCATGTTCCGAGTGTACATGCAATTGGATGTCATCGGGACCCATTTTAGTTGGATGAACACCAGTCGGTCGCGTGTCTTCATCATCTGGAAAATGTGATATCAGTGTCATTATTGAGTATTTGAAGAATTTTCTCAGAAATATAATTGTTCAATTTGTGAAAAAAAAAATTCGGTTTTTCCAATTTCCAATTATAAAATTTCAATTTCAATTTGTTTGAAATGGAAAAAAATACAGATCCAATCGTTGTCAATTATTTTATATAAAAAGTATCAGAGAAATGACCCAACCTTGCATACTCAATTTTCTATATTCAAATGAAGCTCGCCCGGCATCTGAATCTTCTATAGGAAAAGAATCAGAGCATTTATCAGACATTGTAAGTATAAATAGTGAAGTGGGGACGAGTAAAAATTCGAAAACAGTTCAGTTCAAGAGCTTTAATCAAATGTGGTTCTATCGTTTAAACGTATGTATGGACAAGTTTTAATATAATATTTTTATTCAATTCTTAAATTTTAGTCAATGAAAAATAAAAATTGGTGGGAAAATCAGTCCTTTTTGGAGAATGTTATATTTATTTAAATGTTGTGTCCTTTTTCTAGTATTTAATCGATCCAAAATTACTATAATCAACTGTATACCGTGCTCAGATAATCTATTTCGTCAATACATTTTGTTTGATTTTCCCGAATGTGAGATTATTTGTCTGTTTGTTCAGGCTCATCCATACATTTACGACATTTTGAAAGAAGCGATAAATCGACGAAAAGCAATAAGATCATTTTACATGGTTTCCGTTGTCGTCATAAGTCATGATGTCAATACTTTTTAGAAATACTCATAATTTCAGAGAACTTTCTACCTCTTATTTAGACATAGATCTTTATTCATTGCAGCGAGAGAAGATAGAGAAATATTACATAAAAAACCTCCGATGCTATGATCCTAGTGAGAAGTGGATCCGATGGTATTTCAAAAAACATTCAAGTAACTGTTTGATTGCGTTCAAAACCAGATGAGTTATAAAAAAAGGAACGGATTTTTCAAAATCGAACAATTTTCCACAACAAATCCAAGCATTCAATCCATGAAAACGCATGTAAATGCAAATTGAACGTTTGAGGCAAATTTACATGCGTTTTCATGGATTGAACGCTTGGATTTGTTGTGTAAAATTGTTCGATTTTGAAAAATCCGTTCATGTTTTTGAACTCATCTGGTTTTGAACGCAATCGAACAGTTACTTGAATGTTTTTTGAAATACCATCGTATCCACTTCTCACTAGGATCATAGCATCGGAGGGTTTTTATGTAATATTTCTCTATCTTCTCTCACTGCAATGAATAAAGATCTATGTCTAAATAAGAGATAAAAACGATGGCACCTTTCCAAAAACAATATGTCTTTTTCGATAAATTCGTCTCAAGATTTTTCGATTCGTCCAGTGGCATATTTCTTCTACATTTTTTAAATAATTTTTCATTATTTCGCCGTAACTGAAATTATTCAAAGGGGTTCCTTTTTTTCCTTTCCGTTCAATATTTGGACACAGAGCCGCAAAATCGACGTGAAAAAAAATATGACCGAACAACAACACTGACCGAAGGAAAAATGTGTTAAATATACGGAGTAGCGTTCTGTAATACAGAATGTCTGTATAGATATTTAACGGAAGCCAAAAATAGCTCTGAATGAATGTCGCCGTCGTTGCTGCACGTTCAAAACATACGCAGTTTTTTTTTCTGCGAAGAAGAAAAAAAAGCTCAAATCAAAACGCGACTAAGAAATGCGATTCAAAACATATACACAAATCGGCATAAAGCCCAAATGATATTACGAGTCATTAGATGACGACGTAATATGTGTAATATGTGCATATGAGGTGCTAATTTTGATACGAACCGTTTGATCATTAACAATGATCGATAAAATCAATTGTTCGATAACACTGTGACTCTGTGTCAGTGACCAAACAGCCGTTTTTCAATGCTTCACACGCACGCACTTCATACAGAGCGAGAAACGAGAGCCACAAAACGCGTCGTCGACCGCGCATATATGTGAGAGTGAAAACTATTTGCCCGTTTGAGAATTTTTATTTATAAATACAATAGAGCGTGTGATCCACATATGGATTGTGCGTTTTAACACCAACAGTTTTATCCATTCCTTAAAATATAATATTTCACTAGAGAGACAAATATTATTTGTTCGAAGGTAATGAGTGCGATCACCGTACTCTCTCTCTTTCCTTCTCTGATCCGGATCGAAAAATGAGCCGCAAAACAAAGATCAAACCGCGAAATGTATAGCATATTAAGTGAAGAAGAAAGACTCTCTCGCGCAAATTGAATATTTTCAGCGCAAAAGAATGAGAATTCCCGCTATGGCAACGAGAGAGAGAGAGAGAGAGAGAGAGAGAGAGAGGGAGACGAGAGAGGAAAAAAATGGAAAAACCGTCCAAATAGATCAATTTGGCGTATATGAAATTACAACAAACTTAGTGTCATCATGCGAACGATTTTCCTCATCGGAAAATCTCTCATCCGACTCATTTGCAAAGCGAGAGAAAAGTTAAGGCGCATTTATGAATTTAACGCAATGTCTAAATTGTTTGACCTTATTGACTGTCTACATCACACATTTTATACTTGTTCTTTTTTGTTGCTGTTTGCATTCTTTTCTAGATGTTTTTTTTTAACACTAAATTACCATTCTCTGTTTTTAATATTCGAGCAATTCCTTTCGTTTTCTCTTTTTCTTTTCGTTGGCATTAAAAAATGAAGCAAAAAAGACGCGCACAATCTTGAATTTACGTCGTTTTCCGAACATCGCAAATGTTCTTCTTTGTTGTCGTTGGATTTTTTTTCTCTTATTGTTTCCTCTTCAAATTATTATTTATAGATTCTTTTCATTTTAAATGGTGTACAAAACAATTTTCCTGGTCGTCGGATCGAGGACATATATTCGTCGCCGTTGTTGAATTCCAATTTCCAGTTGAAGTAAATTAAAAGGTTTGTGTGTTTAATTTTCGGTCAATCGATGAACAGTCAGCAGTCAGTGGGGATCTAATTTGAATCGCAACTGTCAATTGAAATGATGGAGTAGAAAGCGAATAGACAACAACTGATAAGCGCAGAGAGAGAGAGAGAGAGAGAGAGAGAGAGAGAGAAGACATGCGGCTCATAGCGGGAAATCACAATACAATCAATAGTTTCGAATTTAAAATTCAATTTGAGTCCGTGCATTGGAATATTAGATTTGATTTTGGTTTGGTTTTGGGTAAAAAAGCTGAAGAGAAAGAAAGTCAATGCAAGGATGTTGACAAAAACACAAACACAAAATAGTATATTTTGGTGATTCTTTTCATTACCTCGACGCCTTTTCTTATCTTTGTTACGCTTCCTAGGCTGCACGTCACCGGACATTCTGTATTTCGATGCTTTTATTTGATATTTATTTTATGTAATACACAACGGTTTTCTTCGTTCACTTTTTATATTAATTTCGATTGCACCTGAATTGTTGGCACCTTTTTTCACCGAAGAAATATCAATTGATCTTTGAATATATTTTTTTGTTGAATGTTCAATGAAAAATTGTCCAACGAAGAAGAAAAAAAAAACCAAGAATTTCTAAGAGATTCCTTAGCACCGCACTATATTTATTGAAAATTACCACACACGAATTAAAATCGTACACATTGGCGCGGCGCGTACATACTACGTACGAGCAAAAAATGTATTACACATTGAAATGGGCATCAGCCAAACTGACCATCACAAATTGCACATCATTTCTGCTGACGGCCGATTCGTCGAATTAAAAATTTTGTCGAGGAATTGCCCGTGCTGCGAGATATTCAAAATGAAAATGGCTCAGCAGTCGGTGTGTTTGTATGTTACACATGTGTGTGTGTGTGTGTGTGTATGTTTGCGTTCTGTCTGTGCACATACATGTCGGACTCTTGGGCTATCAACACATGTTGCGGCTCATTTCAGTGTGTCTTCTTTGTGCTTTCTTCTTCTTCTTCGTTTTTTTTTTATTTTGAATTCATACATAAACATATGATATGTTCTGTCTACATTTTTAGTACACAAAACGCGGTTCAGTGCAGCACCAGCCCAGACTTTATGAATATGAACACTACGAGCAAAACTGAAAACAAACAAGCGATGAATGGAAAACAATTTTTTTTTTATCAGATCAAACAAACGAATGAAACAAATTCATCGTTGAAAAATGCAGTCTTTTTTCCGTTGAATGACAAAAAAGAGATGAAGTGATGAATTAATCCGAATTTTTTCTTATCGCTGAACCAAAGTTCTATCAGAACTATTCAAGTCGACCGTGAGATGGCGCCATCGTGTCATAACAAAGACTTTTTCGTGTGTCAAAACATATACATGAACACATGCACATCAGTGTGTCAGTGTAGAGCGGCCGCATAACAAAATGCACCGAATCACCAATGAAACCAAGTGTGTTTATAGTCGAATTTCGTCTGCGCCTATAGTGTTGATTTCAAAACTTACTACTTGTCAAACAAGTCTGATCACATAATTCGTCGAATTTAATAATCGACTTACATATAAAGTCCAAAGACGAAAATGTTGGTGTCGAAAGAGAAAAATTGGAAATTTACTTCAATTCAAATGATTGAAATGTAGAAACAAATTCGGAAATTTGTCCAGTGTTTTTCATTTTATTTGATTGCAACGTTTAAATTTTTCCGGGCTCATCGTAACAAACTGACATTTCGATTGAAAGACATGTGAAAGCGGATACACAGAGAAACAGGAAAATAAATCAATTGTGTCAAGTTGTGTGTAGAAACACAACCAACTAGCAGCACAGCAATCCAGTACATATACACTGCAGATAGGGTACTATTACAATAAAATGGCGTTTTGTTACATTGAATTCGTGTGTTGTGTAGACGAAAAAATGAATTGCATTCGCTAAATTTGTTTCAATAAAAAGTGAATTGGTGAGCTGAAACGACGAGCATAAACCTAAAATTTACATTTCAATTTCGTTTTTTTTTGTGGCAATACGCAATGAGACAACCAAATCGGTGTGTATATGCATGGGTCTCCCGAACGAGTTAATGTGTGAAAATAAAGATTTTTTTTCTCGATATACATTTATTTTTGGGCAAACACGTATCGTAGAAACGAAAAGAATAAATTTTGAACGATGTCGGTACGAGAAATTGCTTGAATCTATGCAGAACGTGGAAATTTTCAAAATAATTGACTGGATTTTTGGGCAGCATATTACATTCGACAAAGTTTTATTGCCATTTATATGTCGCTGACTGCGATAGTGATTTGAACACTGTTTGTGATTGAAAAGACTCGCGAATAAATCAACATCTGATGAGACTTGATTGTTGGAATTTTATGTTTTAATACGCTGTGAATATTGAACGGAGAGTTTGGCTGAGCTCCTCAAATGTGCAGCAAATTAAACTGTTTATATTTACGGTATGAAAGATAGCCAAGTGTTTATTTGAAAAATTTACATAAACAAAGGACCAGAGCGAAAGAGAAAAAAATCAAACGAAAACGATAGAGAAAAAAAATGGCAGAATTAGTCATTGAATGTCCCACGCCGGATGGGCATATTGAATTTTCAAATACGTCAACCACCAGAGGTGAACCACAGACCAATTCACGGATTCGTGAATTTCTGAAAAAACACAGCAGCGGCTCAGCAGTTGATTCCGGAAATAGCAGCGATGAACAACAACGACAAGTCGCAAATCGTTCACCACCACCAAATTGTTCCATTTGCTTGGGCCGTGTGAAAAGCAAATGTTTTACCGATTCGTGTATGCACCAGTTTTGTTTTAGCTGTTTACTCGAATGGAGCAAGGTATGATTCACTATTGTTTTTTTTTTTCTTCTCTCGATTGAATTGGTGACATTTATTTGCCAAATTACTATTGATTGTTTGTTGAATGTCCGTTGCAGGTGAAGCCCGAATGTCCGCTGTGCAAGCAAACATTCAAGTCAATCATTCACAATGTCACTTCCATGGATAGTTATGAGGAGTATAAAGTCGAGGCCCAGCAACGTCACGTCAATTGGATCAATCTTCCATTCCAGGCGCCCGATGTTGACATGAACTTTTTGTTTACAGCAACTTTACCAACTTACCAGTAAGTGCACTATTGGAAACTAATTCCACTTTATCTTTCTCGTAGAATTTCTTAACCATTTTGAATTAATTTCGAATTGGTTTCTTTTGCAGAATGGATCGTTCAGCACTTTTGAATCGTTCATCAGATCTAACACGTCGTCGTTTATACCAGCTATTCCGGCATGATTCGCCATTGGTTCAACGCTTTGCCCAAACGTATCCAGACGAAAACTACCCGCAACGAATCAGCGGCACACAATGGCGGCAATATATTTACAATCGACGATTGTACGCTGAACCATTGAATGACTTGAGTGGCCAAAGTCGTGATATTTCCTCCGAATTTTATCGGTAAATTATACCATTTTCATTTATTCAAATTGTGTACAGCTATTTTACCAAATTTGTAGCCAAATCGTAGTTTGTTTCTTTTATCATTGTTTCTTTATAATAAACGCATATGATTTGTTGTTGTTACAGAGCAAATCCGGCCCAAATGCATCGACTAATGCAATGGCTGCATCGTGAACTGGTGTGCCTGAACACCGACCAACCTCAACCAATTACATACGTAGTGCAAAGAATTGAAAATCTGATCCAAACATACGATATGACCTCGTACGATTTTCAATCACGCATCAGAGCTCTGGTACCAAACCACACTGAACATTTCGTTCATGAGCTAATCAATTATGCTCGTTCGCCATACGATTTAATTGGATATGATCGATTTGTGACATATTTACCACGTTTTGAATCTGATACAAATGACGTGGTTACATTATCCAGTTCGGAAGAGGGTAGCGATGTGGAATTTGTTGGTCCGGTGGTAGAAGTTGAAACGGAAGATGTTACAAATATTGCAACAAATCAAAATGCTAGTAGCAATGATAATGATAATCGCAGCAATAGCAGTAGCAGTAGCAGTAGCAATAGAAATGATAGTGTAGAACAGGCCGGCGCAAGTACAAGCGGTCTAAGTACAACGGTTGCTGTGGGATCGCCGCCGCCGTCGTCGTTGTCGTCATCGTCACAAACAATCGAACAAACAGCTTCAGCACCGAATTTATCAGGCGATGATTCGGATGAAGAAGAAATCAAAAATTACCTACGACACAAACCAAATGTGTCCACCGAAGAGATGATTCGAGGTCGAACTGGCCCAACGCCGCCACCACCGACATCAATCACCAATGCCGAGAGTGCGCCTTCAAATTCCAACAATAACCATAATAATACTGAACGGAATTATTTCGACAGTGATCGCTTTAATCATAGCACCGAATTAATCATAGCACCGAATAATGTACAGACAAATGATGGAGCATCAACGAGTCAGGCGATAGCTGTAGTACCCGACATAATTGTACCAAAACTCGAACCAAACACACATACCAAATCATTATCAACAGCAGCAGCAGCGGCAACACAACCAGAGGTCATCGATGCAGACACGGGCAGTGACAGCGATGAATGTCTATTTGTGTGTGCAAAAAAACCGCCACACTTACGAACACCGGAATACGTTGAATTGAATTCGGATTCGGACAGTGATGTGGTGTTTGTATCGAGCGAAACATGTCAAACGCCAATGGCAGAAATCACAAATAGCCATTTACAAGCGGCAACCGATGAAAATATTCGAAAATCCATTTTGAATGTATTGTCAGCGCATTGCAGCGAAACTAGTACAAATTTAAAGCGAAAACGAGCCCGCAACGCAACCGATACAAACGCTGCCACAACATACACAAGCCAAACGGCCTCATCCAGTGTGTATGAAACCAAGCCATCAACATCCGAAGCCATGCTACAGTGGCTCATCCAATCGCCAGATGAACATTCCAGCCGTATCTCACCAAGATGTAAGTATTGACCGGGTTGACACTTTCCACTTACCTCCTATCCTATCTCCTTTACTGGATTTTTGGCATTCATTCGTTCGTTTCTCTCTCACAGCAAAACAGCACACATCCCCAATACGACCACGTTTGACCACAACCATAAAAATATCGCGCGGTAAACACATCTATGAGTCACCATCTTCAGAGGATAGCGATCAAGATGACAGTACCGACCCTGATGTAAGTGCAAACGAAATCATTTAAATCCAAGCAACAAATTTTAACAATTGCATTGATTGGTTTTCTTGTTCACATTTCTTTCCGCCAGTCGTCGTCATCGTCATCGTCCAATTCGTGTGATAGTTCCGATGTGGAATCATCGAGCCATGAGGAGTATGTGTGTACTAGTTCACGTGTTCGAACGAAACGTCCCGCCAACAATGACGGCCCATCATTAGCACCACGGAAAAAGTACCGAAAACGGCGCGGCACACGAATCTATGAAACAACGTCTTCAGACGAAAGTGAGGGTGATGATTAAAACTCATTAGATTTATGTACTATTCAGTTCACACAGACAGAAAATGAACGAAAAATTCTCATTTGGGTGTGTACGCTGTAGCGTAACACAAACACTAAACATGTAAAATACATTGAATGATAATAATCATAAAGGAATAATTCAAAGTACCAAGCATTGTATAGCTTATTCCATTTGAATTGAAATTCCATTCAAACGTATATGTTGTTATCAATCAGGACGAAATTGCACGAAGTGGCCATTTCCACATTTCAAACAACACACTCACTCATACACACAGACGTTGAATGTGATGCAGCTTGCCCAATGTCGAACCAGACTTTAGTTGTTTAAAGAAAAAACATGGTGTTAATATATGGACACGAAGAATCAAACTGAATCCCATTATTAACACATTATGCAGTATTTCTTCTAGGCAACCGATCATAATAATTTTCTCATCAATCCATTCGACAGACCACATTATTGAGCGTCAGGTTTATTTTCTTTTTTTTTTATAAAATATATCTAGATTCAGAGTAAGAAAGAAGAAAAATCTCCAAAAACATGGAAATAAATTAATTTATCATGTACACTCGAGACTATTTACAATAGATTTAACACAAAAAAAATTAAAACACAAAAAAACCCGTTAAATTATGATTCATAGCTCTTTGACATATAGAAAACAGATTTTATTAAAACGAAAAAGATACAAAATATACTAGAATTATACAAGAAAAAAACATGGGGCCGATAGAGCTCATGAGTTTGAAATTCCATTTAAACAACAAGTACCATTTGATTGCAGGATTTTCTATGGCATTGCTGTCATCGTCATCTATCTCATTTTGACGTGATGCGCGAAATTTTTTTTTTTGGTCGTTGCATCAAACGCAATATTAGTGTCATTTATTCTTCTTTTTTTTATCGTTTTTTCTTTCTCTTCATTTGTGGACGAATCAAGCATCTTCAACTGAATGTAAAAAACAAACGAATTAAATCAAATGTACTTATTAACAATTCTAAAGTATTAAGCTCGTTATTCACTCAATAAATCTTATTTTAAATCATTGTATGCGTTGTAAAGATACAAATTGAACAAACAAAAATAAAGAAATAAAGAAGAAGAATACTACATTCGTTAATAAAACTAAGGAGAAGATAAAATCAGTCAATGAAACAAAAAATGCTTAAACATTTTAATTGTACAGAATGCGATGTAAGTTTAAACACACAAATGAGAACAAACAAAGACATAATATTTCTATTTTTCACTTGTAATTCATTTACATGCCGAAAACGGAATCAACGAAAAATGAAACATAAAAATCAAATTTAAAAAAAACAACAACAACAACAACAAACTGTCTACAAAGCACTAAGAGATTGATTCTTATCCGTAATAAAAAGAATATTCTGAAAACTTTGAAGGAAAAATTGTCAAAATTTTGATATTTGAATATTTTTTTTCAGACTTCTAGTCAAAAAAATGAATAAATTTCATATGCGAATTTTTACAGTAATGAAAGAAATTTGTTCATCAAAGATTTCGTAATTGCAGTTTTGCTTTTTCTGTTTGTAATTCAAACCACAAGCAATCAGTTTTGTTCTTGTTGCTCAACTTAACGGTAATGCAGCTATTGATGACTTACAAATTTGTTCCGACAGATGTCACTGATTGCTGAGCCACACAACTAATGTCAAGGTTATCAAGGGAATGAAACAAATATAAATATTCAAGTCTCCACGCTATACATTGTGCTTGTGCGTATTGTTGACTCGAAATGTCAATAAAACCGTTAATACAGTGAGACGTACGAACAAACGTCGAATGTTTTCGTCAAAACACTGCCAATTGAATGACAACAAATCGTGTTGACAACGAAAATGGAGGAAAATCGACGAAAACGGATGAAAAAGGAGACGGAAAAATGTGCGGAATTATCAGCAGTAAACACACATACTATCACAGATCGCGCAAATGATGATTTAAACACGGCATTTCGATTATGCGAAGAAGAGGTGATCAAACCAATACAATCCAGTGCAAATGAATCGAATAAGATTTCACCGGCAAATAACAAGGAAAATGTTGGCAATGCAAAAATTATGAAAGAATCAAAGCCCTTTGTTGCACCGGAAAAAAGTCCATCAGTGCTCTTCAGTCCAAGTTCAATTGTTTGGATATAATCCAAACGTTCCGCTAAGAATGAAACATCACGTCGTTTAATTGGCAACCGATCAAAGTTGGAAAAAGCAAGAAATCCGAAAGTAAGAGGACTTTTTTTGAAATTGAAAATTTGATCGAAAGAAGGAATGATTATACATAATTTTACCTGTATTTTAGTGTGAAAAGAAGCCATCCGCAACATCCACTCGAGAAGCATCGGTCAAACTGCAACGCATGCTAAACACCGCTTCAAATGATGATAGCCTAATCGGTGAGGCCAATCGAATGCAAATGAACCAGCAACCATCGACATCGAAAATAAAACCGAAACCGGTGCGTAAGCAATCGCCATTGGATGACAATGTAATGGATTTGACAGAAGATTCAAACAAAATAATAAAAATCAACGAATCGCCGCCCACAATGGTAGTTAAGCCGCATGTTTCTGAGACTAAAACAAGATTTATACCAGAACTTCAACCACAAAAATCAACGAGAAATAAGACAACTTCGTTAAATAACGAATATTTAAAAAAAAAAAAAAAAATAAATAAATAAATAATAAATAATAAATTTTATATTTGCTACGGTATGTACAAAAATGTGCCACGGGTTGAAGCATGACATCTTTTTGGTGGTTCAATATTAATATGATTTATTTTTCCTTTTTTTAATTTAATTTTGTTAAGATTAAATTTTAAATTATTAACATTAATTGAGTGTGAAGACTGTAATAAGGTAATAGAGTCTGCTATCATTCTGTGAGCATATAGTTACGATTATTTATTTTTTTCGTCAGTATCACCGCGGACTTGGACGTGACGTGAATAAGAATCCTCCAAAAAAATTCGGCGTTTGTTCAAAGCATCACAGAAATGTTTCAGAGCTTGAAACCCCACCCGGATTCTGGAATCCAAAGATTATCGATTCAGATAGTGATCATGAAGATACTCCCTACGACTATCGTTTTGCAAAGAAATAAAGTGCAATAAATTCACTGATTGATTACAACTATTGTTATTCATTAGAAATGCGACTGAAAATAGAAAAAATTTAAATTTATATGGAAATTAAATCTTTTTATTTCGACGATGAAATATCCAAAAAATCAAATTATCAGAGCTGCTACTACATCTCATGTAGTGTTAATAAAATTGACGGGTTTCAAATTGGCGCAACTTTTCCTGCTTCGAGTCATCTAACTTCAGGGAAATTAAAAATGTTTGAAAATGAATACACTTCTAATGTTTTTATTTCTCCAATTTCAACTGATTTCCTACAGATTTTCAATGCCAACAGTAGCTAAGAAATCGTTGCTATGACTGAATTTCCAATAATTTCTCAATTGATTGCTCATTCATTTTAAATAACTTCCATTTCGATTCAGAAGCTTGAAAGCGGTGAAAAACATGCTTAATATACCAAAATAAGTCAAGAACCGTCTCCATTTATGCATTGAAAGAATGAATGGATATTCTACCAAATTAAAGCTACATAAATAGGCGTTTTGAAATAGCAAACAATCGATGTGAATTGTTTTCGTTTATGATATTCTTCAATGTGAATTTGGTAATTTTGGGAACGTGTAAATTTATTTTGCCATTTTTTCTCTCTCGATATTTTATTCTAGAACATGTATGTTTAATTTACGACGCAGATTTAGAGGAAATGACAAGAGTGAAACTTTTCGAATAGTGTAGTAGATTGATTGAGAATTGAGATTTTCTAGTCAATTGAGAATTTATCTGAACCGTAAATGTTGTACTCGGTTGTACAATCGTTTCGAATGACTATATATCAGTATCACAAATGCCACCGTATCACAAATGCCACTGACGATTCTGATTTGAAGAATAACAACAAACCGCATAAAATGTTAGGTATATGTGAATGGAAAGAAAAGCCATGAGAAAAGAGTGTAAGATTAATGTGGAATAAAAACTCAAATTTGAGTCGTTAAAATCGCAGCAAAAATACTGGCGTAAAAATGCGATTGTGGTGTATTTTCCAGGCTGTAAAAATTGTTCGGAGTGTGCGCGATTCATGGTGGCACGACATAAAACATAGGCCAAAAGCGCATGCACTTGAGGACGGGCCGTCTTCCGTGCAAGAACACGAATAAATGATGAACAACCTCAAAAAGCCACGAATAAAAACGCATTTCTTTTGGCCCAAATGAGCGGTACTTTTTCTTGCTGTTGCCACAAAGAACGCGAAAACATTTCAAATAGACAAAACGAAAGGAACGGCACTCAGAAAATAGAATGAGAAATAAAAAGCGAATTCAAGCGATTATACGATGTAATAAATAAGATGAAAAGTTATAAAAGTCGTGTGTATTGCACACAAAGAACTTGAGAAAACTGTCACTATATTCGGCTTTGGTGTGTGTGTGTGTGTGTTTGCGCGAATAACAAAGCAGCGAATGCGCGCATCTAGTGAGCGCCACAATGTGTAATTTATGGTCAGACAAATATTCAATAAAAATTATATGCGTTTTCTCTATGTTCGCCGTGATGATGTTGTTGTTATGGTGGTTTTTTGTCTGTTTCCGTCCAATCGTTTTTTGTCTATGTTTATTTCTATCTCTATTCGGGGTCTTAACGATGCGCATGACTATTCTTCTTTTTTACCTCTTCTATTTCAACTATGGTCCTAACTAAGTTGGCCTCTTCGAATGGTTGGTGCGCTCATCGGACGAAATTTGAAATTCACATGTTATCGATTCAACAAGACCATTTGAATAATATAACAATGCGCTTAAATTTCCGTACACATACACACACACACACACACACACACACACACGGAATATGTGCGCTTATGTTAACGGAGCGAGAAGGAGAGAGAGAGAGAGAGAGAGAGAGAGAGAGAGAGAGAGAGAAAAGGAGAATGCAAATCAATTTAACCACATCAAACCGACGAATGTGGGATCCACGGCATGGGCTTTGAAGCAGATTAAAATTTTCGGTTCAATGTGAAGTTCTCATTGAGAACAAAATACATACACGAAACAATAGCAAAACTGAGAACATTTTCAATTGTTCCGTTCAACATTTGATCAGGCTGAGGTGCACTGAATATCGAATTCGATTGATTTTGATCGCATCGAATGGTCTTCTTTTTTTAATTCACAAAAATTGCTTCGCTTTACAGACCGAATGCATCGACTATAGGCTCAGAATAAGAATCAGAATTTGATTGAACAATTTTAATACATTTACCAGTTCGTTCAGCAAACCAACGGAATGAATAATTTTGCGATACTTTATCTTATTTAAATCATGATTTACCTACAAGAGATCTATTGCCTCTTCTTTCCGGAGATTCAACGCTTCCAATTTATTTGACTGGTTTTATTCACAATTAGATGTTTTTTTTTGAAAATCTAGAAGAGTTCCAGCGCTTCACGCACATAATTCGTCTGTTTTTTTTTTGCGAACAATTTCGCTAGTTTATAAAAATGTTCATGCGTTGATTAATTCGTTTTTCCAGATTGAATTCTGATCCATTCGTGAGCGCCTACCATCAGTACTGTGTCTGAATTTTTCGTTTTTAATGTGGAAGAATGTTCTGAAGAGAAAAGAAAATGATTTCTGTTGTATTTTCATTGCAGTAATTTCAATGATTTGAATGCTCAAATTGGCATGTCACAATGGTGAGAACGAAACCGGGTATTTCTGAGGCACAGCAACGACCGAAACAACAACAAAAAATGGTGAATAATTGTTCAAATGAATAAAGCGAAATGAAATTAATATAAAAAATAATTTACTTGCATAAGTTCAAGCAACGAAAAAAAAATAATGTGTGTTCTTTGTCGTCTCCCACTTTCTCCACGTAGACCTTCTTTTGGCACTTAGTCATTTTTACTCATTCACCACTGTGTGTACTTAGTTAATAAAGAGCATATAATTTATTCCACGATTTAAAACTTGCTAATCATTTTGA